AGGAGTGATACTTAAAATGAATATGAGAAAATACTCCGACTGTTAAAAGTAACTCAATTCTTAGAAGTATTAAATGCTGGAAAGAATATTAGATTAGTTTTTGATAGACAATAATAAATGCTAGTTATTAGAGACAGACTGAGCAGATGACCTAAAATGTTCTCAGATGAGTTGAATACCAAACACAGAACAATCAATCATTCAGTAACAGATTGCATAAACCTCTGGGACTCCCTGTCCCAATAAGCCCCGTATTTTCCACACGCTAAACTCTGTTCCTGGACTCTTGCAGGTAAACAAAAGAAATAACCCTTCAATACAAATCCCCTGCATTACATGAGATACATGAAGGGTTTAGAGATCCTCATGTTTAGTACGTCTGACCTTCCAATTATCAACATCTCTTTAAAGGAACAGTTCAGTGTTTTGGAAAGATTGATCTGGAGTTAGGTTGTGCTTAGCTTAGCTTAGCATAAAGACTGGAAGCAGGGGGAAACAGCTAGCCTAGCTTGTCCAAAGTTCATAAAGAAAGAGCAGCTCTCGTCCTGTGTGGTCAGTCGCCTATTTGTTCATAACTGACGTCACCAGTTCCTCTCACTGCTGAGTAGACTGCAACGGAAAAACACTCTGGAAAATAAAACAGATAAACATTACATTACTTCAGGTTGGGGAGACCAGAGATCAGGAACAAGTTATGAATCGCTTGATTCACTCTGCACATGCTCAGTTTAGTCCTTATTCCACAAGGTAAAATGTATCACCCTGTGGCGGCACCACTGTTGAGAAGTTACTCAAAACCTGTAAGAAGTTACTAGTTACTCATTACTACTCAAAAAAGCAATAACATTACTTTACTTATTACTCAGTGATAAAAGTAGCCAGTTACGTTACTCAATATGTTCCTATATTACTTTACTTCACTACTATATTACTGTTTTGGTCAGGGGCATAGGTGTAGACGGTGCCGCTGCACTAGGGTCCTTTACAGGAGCGGCCCCGCCAAGTTACGAGCTGGTCTTTGTCACTTACATGGAAAAAATGCATCAAATTTCATTCATTCATCACACACATTTCACCTTAATGTATTATATCTAAGATGATCAAGTGCTATATATACATTCATGTGAGCATTTCCCCTGTGTAAAACTGCTGACTGCAATCAGTAGTTTTACACACAGACGTCTATAGCAAGCAGTAGGCTTTATAAGGTACACGGTGAAATATAAAAGAAATAGATTCCACAGATTCAACAGAATGAATTTAGTCTTATTGTCTTTGGCCCACATATGCAGTGATGATTGCTGGGTAATATGTATGTGGCTGCCCAATCTTAAGTTTCTATATGATCTTGTGACAAGACTCCAGAAATCAGGTGAAACACAAAATCTGACCAGTAGACTAGCAGAGCACACATGCAAGCTAGAAGTGATGCTATTCACACATAAAAGTAGTTTCAAGAGGAGACAGGAGAGAAAAGAACAGGAGGAGAGGGTCGCAAATGACATTGTTTTGGCTTGCCGCTGTTTTAAAGGCTGATATCAGTTCGGGGACAGGTCACCGCTGAGTAGGACTACCTGTTTAATTGTGTGCTTGTGCATGTGGGTGTTAAACTGCGCTGTAGCTGGCCTGTTTTCAGGACATGGCGTTCATCATGAGTAGGCCACTTTTCCTTCTTATTCACCACCATAATGTCTTTCCTCTCTGTCGAAGAGGAATGTGGTTGCCGTGATTCGGGAAATTAATGTACTGAAATTGCCCGTAAGTCTGCCTCATTTCAGCTCACTGCACACCTCCCCTGCACTCGGCCGTTTGTAGTGACGTTTCAGTAACAGCTGTTACAAGTGCTGTTAGTATTTTTACTGCTGCTGCTGGTATATTAACTGCTAGTGTTGGCGCTACCTGCAACACATGTAATAATACTACTGCTGTATATATATTATATTTATTATTCTTCATGTAGAATATAATATAATGAGTTGTGTTATAGACTCTGTAAAAGGCAGCAGGTTTGACAGTTTTCTTCTTCTTACTACTGTGAAAGGTGAAAGACCAAATATAACTGGAGGGTATTTATCTGAAACAGGGAACTAGACAACAAAATAAGTTCACACATTTCAGCACAAAAATAGACAAACACAACACCATCAGCTTAAACAGATCACACTATAGTGAGAAACGACACCAGCGTCAGACCTCAGCTCACTGGAATCAACAGGAGAAGTTGCTGCTGTGGTTTAGATGCAGAGCACAACCAAGTGTCTTTGGTCTGCTGGTCCATCTTCTCTTTAATTTAAAATAATTTAAGCACTTAATAAACCTATAATTTACATTTAAACAAGCCGATCAATAATGTTTGAGTGAGACCCAACAGTAAAACTGTTAATCAATTGTATGTGAGATCTGTAAATCTGCACATTTATAATTCGTGTGTCATCATTCAAGTGTTTTTAAAGAAAGCAGTAAACTGGACGACCACAGAGCTGTTAGCTTCTGTCAGCAGATTCATCGCAGGGCACAAAACCAACATTATCATTAACCTAAACAGAGAACGCAACGCAGTCTGAAACCTTTATGGGCTAAAAAACATTGATTTTACATTTGATTTTTTTTTGATGAACATTTATATCATCTCCTCATTTCAGAAAAATGTCCTCACAAGGTCTAAAATTCAACTTGGTCCTCACACATAAGAATAAGAACGCACACTCACTGTCCCTGAAAACCAGAATCAATAAAACATTGTTACCTTTGCTGCGTCTGATTGGCTGATGTAGGTCTGTGATGTCATCATCCCCAGCTTCTTCTTCAGCGGCTGAATGAACCAAAATGAGCAGAAATTTAAATCAATGAAGATCATGTGATTCGATCAAAAGCTCCACAGCTCACTAAATGGACCCTGTGGTGAGATTGTTTTATTAACAGCAGCAATGTGATTTATGAGAATCCTGATGGACGTCTGACTTAAAGAAACAGTTTGTAACTTGTTATTATTTGTACGTCCAGAAGTGTTAATAGAAATGTGTCAACAGTAAAATGTGACTAAATGTGAACTGCATCACATGGAGTCTGTAACTAACCTTTAGGTTTCATATGGAGGCATCGTCTCACCAGTAGAACCAGAAGAACCAGAAGAACCAGAACAGAGAAAGATAGAGCGGCCAACCACAATACAGAGGGAGAAGTAGAGGAGGAACCAGGAGGAGAGGAGGTTGGAGGAGGACTTGTAGTGGTGGGTTTCACTAAATTGAACAATTAATTATAATTAAAGATATAATTAAAAAAATAAATGGATAATTTATTGAACAGCATGCTAAAAGAAAGACACAGCAGTAATTCATAATGTCAGTCTGGTTTAGAGTTAAAAAGATCATATCAAACGGTGGGTTGAACTCTGACAGATTTCACTCTTGTTTCTTTGCAGATTGCAAAGTTAGAAATGTTGTCACATCATGAATCATCTCTGCTGTCCTGAAACCTGCTGAACTCAATGTAGAAAACAAAACAAGGTCAGTTTGAGAATTATCTTTGAGCTCCTCACCTGTGACAGAGATCCAGCTGGATGGAGACTCTCCACGACCTCTGATGTTACACTTGTAGAGGCCTTCATCAGACTTGTTAACATGGTGGATGGTCATGTGACCTGTAGGCTCAGTCCTGATGAGGGAGCCATCTTTATAGAAACCAGCTGGGAGGTTGGAGGGAGGGGTCTTGTTTTACAGTGCAGAGTGACATCATGTCCCTCCATCACAGGGAGGACAGGACTCTGCAGGATCACTGGTCCACCTCAACACAGAGACAAACTACAGCATTTCATCATTTACACACAGCTTCATCAACACTAACTCCACAGTCTGATCTTACCAGTGACAGTGATGCTGATGGTGTTACTGGTTGCTCCCTCTCTGGACTCACACCAGTAAACTCCACTGTCCCATGGGTGATGTAGCTGATGTTACAGGAAGAACCAGCTGATCTTCCCCAGCCAGCTCCACACTGAGTCCTGTCGTTTGGTTGTGTTCCTCCTCAGCGTCCATCCAGCAGAGCTGTCGTCCTCCTCACAGCTCAGAGAGACAGACTCTCCTTCAAACAGCTGAGAGCTGCTGGGACTCACAGTCAGAGAGGCTGGAGGGGATACGTTACATTTTTAGCTAAATGACCAGATGTCTCACAGTGAAAGCTTGACACTTGTTTGGGAACGACAGGAAATGCTAAACTAATCAGCACAATGTGGTTACTAACACACTGGGCAACAGTACTTTCCCCCCATGGCTCGGACATCAACAGCACAGTTGGTTTGAAGTAATTAGCTGGGGGAAACAGACCAGTCTTTTTTATTATTATTTCCAACCAGCCCAAAGAAGTTAGTTATTCAAGCATTTGTTAATCATCAAAAACAATAAAGGAAATATCATCAATTTATCATTTATTTCATTTATATTGCAGGACAGAATTCAGGGAGGAATTTATAATGATTGATTGATGAATAAAAGTTTGCAACTGCATTATGAAGAAAGATTCACAAAACATTTTTCTGTGACATTTTATTTTGTTAAACTGATTCATGCATGCCGTGTATTTTTTATATTTATTTAAGGTGCCCTTCCAGTCAAGAAAATGGGATGCAGCCATGTAGGCAGCCCTACATGCTGGAAAATGAGTTGACTCTAAAAGCGTGTTTTTATCACAGAGGTGTAATAGTTAGTAGTCTTTAATCTTTTTGATTATAAATGTATCACTGCTTTCTGTGCACTGGTGCTCCAACACATGAAGCTTTTTTGGCCCTCAGCACCTGACTTCCCACAGTTATGTCTCACACAGTTTTGGTGGTTAAGTTTTGATTTTTTTCACTTTTGAAAATTTTTACGCATAATGAAAGTTGGATTCTTGGATTTTTACTTTAACATACATGAAGTGACAAAATTCATCCTTCAAAATTTACACTATGAACCAATTACAGTTTCAAGACTTTTGTGCATTTGAATTATGGATTGTGGATCAAATCTGATTGAACTTGTATCCTGGTCAACTTGTCCTTGTTTTTAGAGACTTTCTTTCTTTTTGGTAGCTTCAAGTCTGTTTTTGTGTAGTGGTTGTAAATAATCTTGGTCATTTGTTTAGTTAGTATTAAAACATTCTCTCTTTTTGTGTTTGTGTCCAAACACTTTACAGAACACACATTTTGTATTAGTTTTAACCAGAAAGCGTTATGCGAACAGCTTTTGACTGTCAGAGTTCACTCACCTCCGCTGGTCCTGCAGCTCAGCAGAGAGATCAGCACTGAAGAGAAACCAGAGATTTAACATAAAACCAGACCAGACAGAGAACTGGGAAACTTTGAGTTTTACTGCTCCAAAAATACAGCAATATCTTCCCTAAACCCTTAATTAATGTACGGGTGTTTGTGGATATTAAATGTCTCAATAGTATTATACATAAGAACTTTTCTGAAACACTTTAGTGAAACAAAAATTTAAATAATCATGAATTCTACTTAATTAATAAAGTAACTATTAAAGACGTCTGTTTCAGATTGAATAAAGGAAGAAAAACACATTAAATATATCGCAGACTCTGTGATGTCCACTTTGGTGATGCTCTGTTCTGCTTTAGCTCTTTGAGACGTAGCACGTCATTTCATTTCAGTAGCCTCATAATGGTTGCTGCACCTGCTGCGGTGTCCATAGACTTTTTATTTATTGTCAATTTTTTTCCTCTTTTCAGGTAAATTCTAAAATGATGCAAAAACTATTCAAATTGCTGAACAATGAATAACTGTTTGATCACCACATTAGTGAGTTTCTAGTTTTTGCTACTTTCCCCTGTGGTGATCAATCAATTCTAACGGGTGAATAATAACAGTTTACAGTTATTTCAGTTTTGGCAGATTGTACTTACAGAGCAGAAAAGATGTCTGTTCCATTGCACCACCACTCAGTCCGTCCAGTTAAACTCTCTTCCTTCCTCTTTGAAGGGGAGGGTAGTGACGGTTTCTCTCCTTCATTTATAAAATTGGTCATGTGGTTTGTCTTCTTCACACTAGAGCTTATCAGGAGACACGGGGCCCTACACAGAGAGTTTAATCACATGCAGGAAGTGACAGCGCTGCAGGCTTAACATGAAGGTGGGCTGATCTGAGATCACTAAGAGACAGATTCATTAGAGAGAAGGATGTAAAGTTCCTCAATGGAGATTATCTGTAAATATCTGTGTTATGAAGATTTCTCATTTTAAAATGGACAAAAACATTTTGTAGAAGTTTAGATCAAACTTCTGTTCTTGGAGTTGCAGAGTCTTTGAACAAGTGATCAAAACTGTGGTTCATATCTGAAGTTTAATGGTCACTGAGAGTCCTGTTTTTTGTTTTAACCAGTTTTAAATTGAAGTGATAAAGATCCAGAACAGTGAAACTGTTTTTTTATTAAATGCTTGAATCAGTCCAAAGGCCCTTTTCTCATATCGGGGGTCCCATCTCTAAAGATGAACATGCTGGACGTTACTGGATTTTAAGAATAGGGACGTTCACTCTGTCATCCTGCTGGCTGCAGAGTAACTCTGCTGACATCTGGTGTTTTAAAAGAAACTCACACAGTTTGTGAATCAACATGACTTCCTGGAAATAGGCATTATTTACTCAGTCACATGTTACATTTTTGTAACTGGTGTATTGTATATTCTTTGAATGTGTTATTTAATGTGTTTTCAGTTGAAGGGTAGGGAATTTTGTTCAGGCATGAAAAAATGCAAAGTAAATTACCGTGTCATTCTTACATATTCTTATTTTCTAAACATGAGAAGCTGGGTGGTGATGGCGCAGTGGATAAGACACATGCCTCTGGTGTGAGAGATCTTGGTTAAGTTCCCCACTGTGACATGTCCACCAATGTGTCCTTGAGCAAGACACTTAGCCCCTAGTTGGAGCACCCTAAATTTCGTTGTACCTTCACAGTGCAATGACAATAAAGACTATTCTATTCTATTCCTAGTTGCTCCACAGGCGTGCGACCTCTGACATCCTTAGTAGTTTTAAGTCGCTTTGGATAAAAGTAAAATGAATAAATGAGAAGCTTCACACTGACTAAAGCAGTGCTCAGATATACACTGCTCAAAAAAATAAAGGGAACACTTAAACAACACAATGTAACTCCAAGTCAGTCACACTCCTGTGAAATTAGGAAGCAACACTGATTGACAATCAATTTCACATGCTGTTGTCCAAATGGAAAAGACAACAGGTGGAAATTATAGGCAATTAGCAAGACACCCCCAATAAAGGAGTGGTTCTGCAGGTGGTGACCACAGACCACTTCTCAGTTCCTGTGCTTCCTGGCTGATGTTTTGGTCACTTTTGAATGTCTCGCTCCATCCACAGACTGTCCAGGAGTTGGCGGATGGTTTAGTCCAGGTCTGGGAGGAAATCCCTCAGGAGACCATCCGCCACCTCATCAGGATCATGCCCAGGCGTTGTAGGGAGGTCATACGTGGAGGCCACACACACTACTGAGCCTCATTTTGACTTGTTTCAAGGACATTACATCAAAGTTGGATTGGCCTGTAGGGTTTTCCACTTTGATTTTGAGTGTGACTCCAAATCCAGACCTCATGGGTTGATAAATTTGATTTTCATTGATAATTTTTGTGTGATTTTGTTGTCAGCACATTCAACTATGTAAAGAAAGGAGTATTTAATGAGATTATTTCATTCATTCAGATCTAGGATGTGTTATTCTAGTGTTCTCTTTATTTTTTTGAGCAGTGTGTTTGATCAGGGAACATACCAGTAAAGCTACTGGCACTCTGCTCAGTGCCCAACTAACACCAACATTGTTGGCAGTAGCTGCTTTCAGTCTTCAGAAAGTTCAGAAAAACAACTGTCAGTTCCACACTGACCAGACAGAAACTGACCAGAAAGGGTTTTTTTGCCTTTTATTTTATTATTATACTCACAAGGTCGAGGCTGCAATCCCTTTTTGTCGAATGGAAACCTACTTGTTACTGGGTGTATCGGCCTTTTAAAGGTATTCAATAGGTTAAAAGGACTGGGTGAGCTATGATCAGCCATAACTCAAATATAATGCTAATAAAGAAATCAAGTCTTTTGGTAAGTGCAAAACTGAATTGGCTATATGGACTGTACTGGCCATTTAAATGTTGGTGGTAATAAGGACTGATTGAGCTATACTCTATATACTATACTATACTTGGCAAGTGCAATACTACAAACAACATATTTTAACTGGTAAAAGGTGGGTTGGTTGGCAAAGAGCAAGCAAGATAATTGCAAGAGAGACACTTCCTTTATTTTATTTATAGCCTAACCAGCTGTGAATCATGTTAATTAAAGACTACAGTCTGTTTTCCAAATATAAACAAGGATATTAAACATATAGGCCTGCCAAACACAAATTTCATCTGCAACAACAGACTAATTTTATTGCTTATAATAACATTTTGTCAGGCCTGATGAACTGCAAACAATTTAACTGGGATTATTCTGTTAGAGGAAACATTAAGGTTTCACAAAGACATACCTTTGCTACCACGGAAATAAAGGTGACGCTTATTTGCACATATTATTGGCCTGCTACCAACTGAAAATGACTGACGGAGCACACTGATCCAACGGTCGGTGTTGGTTGAAGTCGGTCGCCGTTTGTCGGGGCAGTGTGCAAGCAGCTTTAGAATAAAAAGTAAAAGTACCTCATTGCTGTGAAAGGCTTCTTTCAGCATTTGATGTTGAGTTTGAAGTCCAGTGATGTCTGATGTGTTTCACTTTATCTCATCATGAATGTGAATTCGGTGGAGTAAAGTAAGCCTATGAAGTCCCTCATAAGTGTTAAAGTATCCATGTATTATGTTGTTTGTTGTCTGTTTATCAAAACTAGATACCATGTTAGGCAGAGGTGGAAGCAACCATTTAAATTTACTCTTATTCCTGTAACAAAGTCTGAGTCAGTTACTTTTCAAATAAGTTTAAATTAACAGTAATCAGTAATTTTACTTTAACTACCTTTTTTATTTTAGTAGAAGTATTGTACTTCCAGAGTAAAAACAAAAGTTAGATGAAAAAGTCCTGATAAACCAGTTCAGAAAAAGTGACATTGACGAGCTACTTTCTGCTCACGGCTGCATGATCTTCTCCCTCGTCTGCCAACAGAGAGAGAACGGGAACAGGTGAGCGTCACATTGCACCCAGAGAACCTGATACAGAGAGGGCAGAGGCGAGAAAAAAGTCCCGTACCACTTCAAGCTGCTCTGAACAGTTTCATAGTATGAACCTAGACTGTTATGTGAGACCGTTTGGATGTGTAGAAGAACACAGAACATGAATTAACATCTGATCAAGTTAGCAAGTTATGCTGCTACATGCGTAAATATGCACAGGGAGACACTTTCACCCTGTTTCACCCAGCCGCTATTCAGTGTTCATTTTTATGATCCTGCCTGCCCATCAACACATCCCATTCAACAATAACAACATCAGTTGACCTAATTAGAAATGTCCCGATTCGATATTAATGAACAAAAGACCACCATAGAGTCCTGCTCCCGCCATGGGGTTGGATAGTCCAGCTGCATGCCACTCCTCTTTTCAACATCATGTCTGGCGAAAAGACTTCCGCAAAGAATGCATCGCTGTATCCTCGCTTATAGCTCCTCCAGCACACCTCCTCACTCCTCATTTTTCTACATTTTAAGCATTGAGCTGTTGATCAATTTGTGGGTCACAGGCAGGAGGATGGAGGAGACGAGGAGGCACAAAATGGGAGAAAGGTGACTTCTAAATTTACCTTTACATATAGTGAGTTGAGCACAGCCTTTCTGCTGTTTTTTGTCTGTTCCTTTACAGGAACAAGTGTTAATTTAGCTCAAAATGTTTTTGAGAACTTTCTGTGTAATAGTTCACAGAATGTCATTTAGGCTGTGAGAAGAAAAACAACAAAGTCACTGATGGATGTAACTCACTATCCAGAGGAGAATTTCACAAAACAACTGCGTTAGCGTTTTTCTTTGTGTGTTTGCCGCCCGGATGAAGTGACTGAGGGGCAGTAAAAAAATGGCAAGGGGGTCAAATCTTTTTATATATTAAAATAGTAGGTTATCATCCTGATGTGCCAATTTATATAGTCGTACGTCACCACCCCGTTTTAACAACTAAGCAACTTTTACAACTTTGAGCACAAAATTAAGCTATTTGTCAAAAAATATTTGGCAAACTATGTGGGTAATCAACATTGTAAGGAAATGACTCAGAAAAATATGATATATCATAGAAATGTCAAAATACACTGGAGGGGGGCTTTCAATATTAAGAAGGACACTGTTAGGCATTTTAAATACAAACAAGAATAACATAAACAGATTAAATGTTTACCGTTGTGTTTCTTACATCACCACCCGAGTCAACTTACACTGATGTCGTTCCACGTTTGTACAAAATAGCTCCTGGTATTGATAGAAAACACACGGGAGTTGCTGATCACAACAAAAATTATTTCTGTCTGTAACGTCATCTTTTAAAATGAAGTTTATCTAAAAAGTGTTTCATTCGTCCGGGCTCTCCCCTATAGTCGCCGTTGCAATGCCAGTCCATGAATTTGGAGGGCGGAGCTTCTGAGGGAGTGAAGGGAGTTTGTTTGGCGGGTTCAAATATCAACAATCTTTCAGCTGAGCTCCTTTCTATCCCCTTAGATGTCTTAACAGTCTGGTAACGTGTTGTGAATTTATTTCATCACTAATGTCAGTGTATTGTCTGTGGAGATCAACATGCCATGATTCATAACCATTTTGGGAAAACTACTCCGTAAAGTGAATTTGCTGATTTATACAAAAAATGTCAACTTGCTAATAGAAATGTAAGCGGCCCTCCTGAGCCTTCACCTGACTGGTTTAGAGGTCCTCACGTTTAGTCCGTCTGAACTTCCTATTACCCACATCTCTTTGAAAGGAATAGTTCAATTGTTCAATGTTTTAGAAACACTCTGTAGTCAAGTCGTGGTTAGCTTAGCTTAGCATAACGACTGGAAGCAGGGGGAAACAGGTAGCCTGTCTCTGTCCAAAGAGCATCTGCACCTCTCGTCCTTTGTGGTCTGATGACTATTTGTCCATAACTGACGTCTCCTGCTCCTCTCACTGCTGAGTAGACTGCAGCTGAATTACACTCTGGAAAACAAAACACATACAAATTGCATTACTTCATGTTGGGGAGACCGGAGATGTTTGAGACACAGGTCAGTTGTAACACGTCAAATTTCTCCAATAAGGAATCACCTGATTCAATCTGCACATGCTCAGTTTAGTCCTTATTACACATGGGGAAAAGTGTCACCCTGTGGCAGCACATACAAGTTTAGAAAGAAAAATAATTTTAAGGTGAGAAAGATTTTTTTTGTTGTTATTTTTGTTACAGCATTGGCTGCTTTGTTCCTAAATCATGTTTACTGTGTGTCTGTGTAGATATCTTTCTTGCAAGTTGTTAGTGCTAATGTTTTAGCCATACGTAAAATGTTTAGTTGTATTTATCTGTTTTATTTGAAATTCAGTTTGTGTGTGACACAGTAAGGCTTAATTATTATAATTACTTATAATTATAATGTATTAATTATTATGTTCAGATGTTAGTTTAAGACCTGAAGGCTTCTCTGTGAGCCAATGAGGCCTCCAGAAGAGCCACAAGTCTGTCACCAAGATAAACACAAACACTGGTGCACAAGTTGTTAACTTTTATTATAATGTTCATTACTATGTCACTATTATTACTGACAGTAACTACGATACTTGGATCACCTACACACACACACACACACAACACACACACACACACACACACACAAACTAGTTGTTTTTAAATAAGGGTTAAAACTACAGCTGTTACAAGTGCTGTTAGTATAATGTTTTATACTAGTACTACTAGTACTGCAACACGTGTAATAATACTACTGCTGTAGAATGATTTCATTACTTTTCATGTAGAATTATAATAAGTTGTTTTATAGACTCTGTAAAAGGCAGCAGGTTTGATAGTTTTCTTCTTCTTATTACTGTGAAAGGTGAAAGAGCAAATATAACTGGAGGGTATTTATCTGAAACAGGGATCTAGATGACCACAAAATAAGTTCACACATTTCAGCACAAAAATAGACAAACACATCCCCATCAGCTAAAGCAGATCAAACTATAGTGAGAAACCACACCAGCGTCAGACCTCAGTTCACTGGAGGAACAGGAGGAAGTTGCTGCTGTGGTTTAGATGCAGGTGCACAACCAAGTGTCTTTGGTCTGCTGAGTGCATCTTTTACTTTACTTTATTCACTTAAGCACTTAATTTACCTTTTATTTACAATAAAACAAACAGATCAACTATGTTTAAGACCCAACAGTAGAACTGTCTCTACATGTTGATGTATTGGGTGTGAGCAGAATGTACAGAGATCTGTAAATCCGTACATTTATAATTTATATGTCATCCTTCAAGTGTTAAAAGAAAACAGTAAACTGGACGACCACAGAGCACAAAACCAACACTGTCATTAACCTAAAGAGACCACAATGAGTCTGAAAACTTTATGATTTTAAATTTGATTTATTTTGATGAACATTTATATCATCTCCTCATTTCAGAAAAATGTCCTCACAAGGTCTAAAATTCAACTTGGTCCTCACACATAAGAACAAGAACGCACACTCACTGTCCCTGAAAACCAGAGTTAATAAAACATTGTTACCTCTGCTGCGTCTGATTGGCTGCTGTAGGTCTGTGATGTCATCTGTGATGTCATCATCCCCAGCTTCTTCTTCAGCAGCTGAATGAACCAAAATGAGCAGAAATTTAAATCAAGGAAGGTCATGTGATTTGATCAAAAGCTCCACAGCTCACTAAATGGACCCTGTGGTGAGATTGTTTTATTAACAGTAGCAATGTGATTTATGAGAATCCTGATGGACGTCTGACTTAAAGAAACAGTTTGTAACTTGTTATTATTTGTACGTCCAGAAGTGTTAATAGAAACATCTGTGTCTAACCTTTAGGTTTCCTGTGGAGGCATCGTCTCACCAGTAGAACCAGTAGAACCAGAAGAACCAGAACACAGAAAGATAGAACAGCAGACCAGAACACAGAGAGATGAGGAGAGGAGGAACCAGGAGGAGAGGTGGTGGAAGAAGGACTCTTAGTGGTGGGTTTCTCTAAAATGAACAATAAATTATAATTAAAGGCACAGAAAAAAAAATAAATTGATAAATTATTCAACAGCGTGCTAACAGAAAGACACAAAGAAGTGAATTCATAATGTCTGTCTGGTTTAAGTAGAGTATCATCATGTATCAAATGGCGGGTTAAACTCAGAAACAGATTTCACTCTTTTTTCTTTGCAGATTGCAAAGTTAGAAATGTTGTCACATCATGAATCATCTCTGCTGTCCTGAAACCTGCTGAACTCAATGTAGAAAACAAAACAAGGTCAGTTTGAGAATTATCTTTGAGCTCCTCACCTGTGACAGAGATCCAGCTGGATGGAGACTCTCCACGACCGCTGATGTTACACTTGTAGAGGCCTTCATCAGACTTGTTAACATGGTGGATGGTCATGTGACCTGTAGGCTCAGTCCTGATGAGGGAGCCATCTTTATAGAAACCAGCTGGGAGGTTGGAGGGAGGGGTCTTTGTTTTACAGTGCAGAGTGACATCATGTCCCTCCATCACAGGGAGGACAGGACTCTGCAGGATCACTGGTCCATCTCAAAACAGAGACAAACTACAGCATTTCATCATTTACACACAGCTTCATCAACACTAACTCCACAGTCTGATCTTACCAGTGACAGTGATGCTGATGGTGTTACTGGTTGCTCCCTCTCTGGACTCACACCAGTAAACTCCACTGTCCCATGCAGCGATGTAGCTGATGTTACAGGAAAAACCAGCTGATCTTCCCCAGCCAGCTCCACACTGAGTCCTGGTTCCTCTGGTCGTGTTCCTCCTCAGCGTCCATCCAACAGAGCTGTCGTCCTCCTCACAGCTCAGAGAGACAAACTTCCAGAAGAAAAACTGGGAGCTGCTGGGACTCACAGTCAGAGAGGCTGGAGAGGACATTTTTAGCTAAATTAACAGTCACTCAGTAAAAGCTTGACACCATGTTGGGTACTGCTCAACTGACCAGCACCATAGTTTTGACATCAGTGCTACAGTTGGATTGAAGTAATTAGCTCAGGGGAACGGACAAGTATTTATTTTTATCTACTTCCAACCAGGTTAGCTTTGTAAGCATTTGTTAATCATTAAAAAACAATTATGGGAAAATAATGGAAATGCCATTTATTTATCATTATTTCATAATGCAGTAAAACTATAAAACAGAATATACTGCAGTAAGGCTCTGAGGCATTCTTTGTTGCTTTCAGATATGTTTCTCCAGTAGATCAACTTCACTCTTCTAATATCGTCCCTGCTGAGTCAGCACACATGCAGGCATGATTTAGTCTTCCTTTGTTGGGGAAAGTAACCTCTTTAAATATGACTGTGGAACATTTTCACCTTACTGATAAAATAATTAATTTAATTTGGTTTTAAAGTTATAAACTCCTGGACTTTAACAGCTTTCTACACATCTCTCACACATATCTGAGTGCATGTTAAGAATAACAGCTGTGACAGAAGAAGTTTTCCACCTTGGTTTGTTGTGCAGCTCAGCAGTGAGGTCAGAACTAAAGAGAAATCACACTCAGGTTGGTTTGAGGTTTTACATGAAACAAGACATCTGGACTTTCTACAACACAGAACAACCTGCTTATAGTGCACAGAAAAACAGCCAACAGTTATGGAAATAACACATTAAGTGTTTTTAGATCAATTTCCACAAACAGAACAGTTGTGAGTAAATGCTGAGGAGCTGTTCAAGTGCAGGAATGACATGCAGGAACCAAAGGGTTAAACAAACACTACAAAGGCTCTGCAGCTACTTTGATTGCAAAGTGTTTCAAACTTGCTGTTTGTTTGGTATTCAGTCAAGGCAAACATGACAAACAGTCACCACTTTAAGGTTTGAAAATAAGAGTCACAAAGGTGCTGCCTAAAGATACATCAAATTTAATAAACTGAATATTTAACTGATGGACTAAAGTCATGTGAAGGACAGGTTGGACATTTTATGTCATTTACTGTACAATAATATGAGGTAGAAATAATATATTCTTTATCAACCAGTCAACAGACAGAGTTATAACCATAGTTTGCAGGGAGAACCTGCACAGACCCCAGCGCTAGTTTCAAACTGAGCTTGCATGATGTAGCTGGTAGTGAACAGCACTGGGTTTCACCAGCTGTGTGAGTTCTCTCCCAAGGGCCCGTGTCCACCAAAGTGTTTTTTGCCAGCTGAAAATGTCCAGTAGGGAGCGCTAGCGGGCGTTTTTGATGCGTTTTTTCTGACTGCTTTGGTTGCTATGAGACATTTGTTGCAAGTAGTTCTACCTAACTTTACTGGATGTAAAAATATCAACACAGAGTAGAGTACTTGCTCTGTATGGAGTGGCTGAAGCAGGTAGAGAGAGAGGACGGATGTGCATTCATGAGATGTTTTGAGCGAGGTAACATCTCGGCGAGTACCACCGTTTGGTCCAAGAGCTGAGGTTGGATGAAGTCCGGTTCCAGGATAGTAACCATTACAACTGAACTGACAATGGCAGCCAATGGTTTCTGTCACTCTTGTCCTTTGGAAGGACACAGAGACAAATCTATAACTCTGAGGGACTTAAAAAGCCCATGTGAGGAGCTTACCTACATACAAACATACAAAAGTCCAATAAATAATCATGTCCACATTACGACTTCTCCATCTAATGCCTAGCCTTAGTTCCTCAAGTTAGGAGCCCTCACTGCTCTGGGGACAAAGGAGTTCTTAAAGATGTTTTTGTTTGCTGATATGACCCTATATCTCCTCCCTGACAATTCAAACTCATCATGTAAAGGATGACAGGAGTCATTGATAATGGCAACAGCTTTCTTTCCTAAACGTTCTTCATAAATGCTGGTCAGGTTTTCTAATAATCTTTGAGGCCGTGTTAACAATCCTCTGCAATTTGTTCTTTCTCTGCATGTTCAGAGTACTTTCCACTAAGCTTTTGTACACTGTCTCAAGGACATTTTTGCTCATTCCGAAGTTGTTCAGTTTGCGCAGGAGGACAAAAGGTAAAGAGAAAAATCTAAGAAGATTTTCCGAGCCTGCTACACTGTGGAGTCACCCACTCTAGCTCACGCAATACACACCCATTATAAACTCAGAAAAGAGTTCAAAAAAGCATAAAACTTCGACAGCAACCGTGAACAAACCATAAAACATATCAAAAAGCTGAATACATCATTAATAGATTCACTTCTTGTGACCAATTTACAGTTTAAATCAAGTCTGTAGCTGAAAGTATGCTGAACTGGTGAGCTTTCAAAGTGGAGTAGGTATGAGGAGGATTTTGACAGTCTCTCCATTCACTTAGAAGGGGAAAGTTTTCCTGGAAAACCTGAAATATTTTGGAAAGTATTCAAGGTGTCAATGACAAAAGTAATAGCACCCCATTCCTCACTGAGCCGGACAACTTGGAGTTTGAACGGAGTTTCTATGTCAAAAGCTGGGGGACTAGTTAGCGGCCAAAAAACGTGACAGAACAATAATAATAAAGGTTAACAACAACAGTGTGTTATTCACAATTACAGCATAGTTTAGGTGCAATTAACTTATTTGTAATTTTAATCTTATTTGATGCAAAGTACGACTTATTACATATCAGCTTATTATGTATTGCATCACAATTTTCATTTTCATTGAAAAACTATTAAATTATGATGATGTGACATTTGTTGGGGTCTGAACCAGGCAAACATGTTTTCTTCTGGAGAGCAAGATATGTAAGCTGGGTGTCTCTGAAGCACTACAGTACTTCATTATACAGTAATGTTGTTTTGTTGCACATTTTACTCTCATCAAAAAATGACACCTTCTGCAATTTGCATTTGACCATTTTGGGATTTCCATAATTTTTTGAATAATTGTGCTTCCCTAGTAAACATCTTTTTGTTTAATACATTACATATTGTAAGAATAACTACACATGGTTAACAATTATAATTGAACACCTGCTGTAATTCATGTTTTATTGTTCTTTGCTGCCATATTACAAAATAATGATCATTGAAATTCCCGTTCTCTTGTTGTAAATGTATTCAATCTGTAGACGGTTTTTGCATCTTTGTATTAAAGTTGTTTGCTCACTGCAACACTCAAAAAACACGTTTCAGACAACGTGGAGACAAACATTCACACATTAAGTAGATTTTAACTTACCCAGCAGCCACGGTAAAGATGATTTCTCCATTTTAGATCTTGGTCATCTGAGATCAACACATTAAGGTTCACCGCTCACACCAAGTAAAACCCTCCTCCTTCCTCTTCCTCTATCACTGGTAGTGTTGAGGTTTTCTCTCAAGCAATTAGCAGGAAATAGGCTTTATTTTTATTCTCAACGAGTTTCAAAGTGAACAATTTAACAGACCAAGTTGCACAACTAACATCAGAATCTCAGTAACAGCCACATCACATTAAAGTTGGTTCACCTGGACAGGTAACTGATCTATTGCTGACACAGGGCTGAAACACACTGAGAGACAAATCAAACATTTGAGCAATTTAGAGTCTAATAAACCTGTATGTCTTTGCACAGACACAAGGGCTGACACAACAGCAAGGCTGGACTTGAGTTAACTGTTCTTTCTTGTCTTGAGCAAAATTAAAAGTGGCAAGCAACGAAACAAGCTGTGTTTTATCTCCTGTTTGGTACAATCTTCCTGGACCTCATGGAGCTTCTTAAATAATACTGCACATTATAAGTATTGAGAGCATCTAGTGAAAGTGTCCATCCAATAAAACCTAATGACAGATGGTACAAGAGCGATGTGATCCAAAACTTCTAATAGAATGACAGCATTTGGTTTAGTTTAACCCTGCTATTTTGTTATGGGCAAATTAAATATATAAATCAATAAGGTATATTTCATCTGATTGACCAAATGCTTCGTGTGTTCCTCCACACTGAGCATTTGAATATGTAAAACAAGTGATGACCACTTTCATTGACTTTTAATGGTTTGATTTAAACTTCACCTATCTGTGACATTCCCTGTCAAAATTACCGGCCTCAGGAAATGAATGTGCGAAACTATATTATATTCCACCAGCAGATAGAAAACTTCCCCATACAACCCTTTCAGGGTTTGGTGAGCGCAAAAGCAGGAGAGAGCCCAAATGCACAACACTACAGAGCAGACATACAGCTCAGGGGACTTTAATCCAACACACCAGGCACGAATAAAACTCATGCGTGGTGGAAACAGGCAAAAATCCAAAAAGCAGAACTGGTAGCGCAGAAACAGGCATCAATCAACTATAACCGGACAGGGACTAAACAGAAACACCAAACATTTATACACATTGGCTATCGAGCAGGGCGGGAGCAACACAGGTGAGAGGGATCAGGGCTAACGAGGTAGGCGGGCAGATTACTGGGGGACAGACAGAACACATGTTACAAAATACCAGACAAGAATCTAACCCCAGACAATTACAGAAACCCATATCAACAGACAAACACCGACCAACAATAACACAGGAATCACAACAGACAAAACGAGAACACAGAGGCAGGGAGTAGGAAACAACATAACGGGGCGAGGCAGGACTGAAACTAGGATTAGACAGAACACCAGACAGTTACAGAATAAGACAGGAACTAAGGCAAGCACAGATCAAAACCAAAGACAGGCAACCGTGAAAAACCAACGGTGGGCAGACTGAACACAAGACACAACAGACCTTAATCACAGATACAGAACTGACAAATAAATAAACTCACAGAGAAACTTAGGACACCACACACATCTATGTATGGGAGTAGTGTTCTATGTGTTTTAAAAGACATTTGCATTTAGAAATTGTCATGAATATTCTTTCTGAAAATCACATCAGTCAGTTTTGACCAGAAACCTGTGCCAGCCACCAAATGGGACGATTGGACAAATACATTTTCATATCAGAATCAAAAATACTTTATTGATCACTGAGGGGAAATTCTTTGTCACAACTGCACACTTGTCAAGGCATATGGAATAGAAATGGCAATAAAAGGTAGATAGACACTTAGAGGGGAGGAGTTTGATGGGCACAGGCAGGAATGACTTCCTGTGGCGCTCTGGGGTGCATTTTGGGGGAATGAGTATTGCCCTGAAAGTGCTCCTGTGTTTGAGCAGCATGTCATAGAGGGGGTGGGAGACATCTTCCGAGATGACATGTAGTTTGGACAGCATCCTCCTCAGTTACTGGGATTTTCACGCACAACCATTTCTAGGGTTTACAAAAAATGGTATGAAAAGGGAAAAACATCCAGTATGCGGCAGTCCTGTGGGCGAAAATGCCTTGTTGATGCTAGAGGTCAGAGGAGAATGGGCCGACCGATTTAAGCTGATAGAAGAGCAACTTTGACTGAAATAACCACTCGTTACAACCGAGGTATGCAGCAAAGCATTTGTGAAGCCACAACACGCACAACCTTGAGGCGGATGGGCTACAACAGCAGAAGACCCCACCGGGTACCACTCATCTCCACTACAAATAGGAAAAAGAGGCTACAATTTGCAAGAGCTCACCAAAATTGGACAGTTGAAGACTGGAAAAATGTTGCCTGGTCTGTACCGAAATTCTTTGTCACAACTGCACACTTGTCAAGGCATATGGAATAGAAATGGCAATAAAAGGTAGACAGACACTTAGAGGGGAGGAGTTATAAAGTTTGATGGCCACAGGCAGGAATGACTTCCTGTGGCGCTCTGGGGTGCATTTTGGGGGAATGAGTCTTGCCCTGAAAGTGCTCCTGTGTTTGAGCAGCATGTCATAGAGTGGGTGGGAGACATCTTCCAAGATGACATGTAGTTTGGACAGCATCCTCCTCTCTGACACCACCGACCGAGAGTCCAGCTCCACCTGCACAACGTCACTGGCCTTACGGACCAGTTTGTTGTGTCTGTTAGCGTCCGCTACCCTCAGCCTGCTGCCCCAGCATGCAACAGGAAACAGGATAGCACTGGCCACCACAGACTCATAAAACATTCCCAGCGTCGTCCTGCAGATGTTGAAGGACCTCAGCCTCCACAGAAAATAGGACCTGTCTGTCACCTCGAAACATCCCTGAAGTGTTTTTCTGGATCCCTCTCTCTTCCCTCGCCGTTTTGTCCTCCTCCAGATCTCGGTGGGGATATCTGTGGGCCTGTGCGCCATGCCGGTCAGCTTTGGCTGGTCCTGGGTGTAAACAAAGCGGCCATGAAGTTGCTGTGCAACAGTGCCATGGCTTATCAAAACTCTCCCAACTTCCATGATTAGAGAGAGTCTAGTTTAAATTACATATCGACCAAAAATCACACACGTGAGATATGAAGAAGAAAGTTAAAAGTTACAGTTACTGCAACAGGCTGCATGCACGTTGGCGCATGCACACTTAAGATGGTTTTCACCTGTCTAAACAATAATAATTTTGTAAGTGCAGAACTTGTAGTAATGACTAGAAATGAAGCTAGTTAAAATATGTCACACATCATTTTGATTTAACAATTAAATCAGACCGGACAATTTTTGCTCATACAATAAAGGACCAAACACGATAGGAGGGTTAATTAAATGGAAATATTCAAGGAACCATTTAATCTGTAGTTGAAGTAAGTGTTGTGATGTGCAAAGCCTGCAAGGATGAGATGGCATTTTAAACACTGAAAGTATACACTCACCTAAAGGATTATTAGGAACACCTGTTCAATTTCTCATTAATGCATCTAATCAACCAATCACATGGCAGTTGCTTCAATGCATTTAGGGTGTGGTTCTGGTCAAGACAATCTCCTGAACTCCAAACTGAATGTCAGAATGGGAAAGAAAGGTGATTTAAGCAATTTTGAGGTTGTTGGTGCCAGACGGGCCGGTCTGAGTATTTCACAATCTGCTCAGTTACTGGGATTTTCACGCACAACCATTTGTAGGGTTTACAAAGAATGGTGTGAAAAGGGAAAAACATCCAGTATGCAGCAGTCCTGTGGGCGAAAATGCCTTGTTGATGCTAGAGGTCAGAGGAGAATGGGCCGACTGATTTAAGCTGATAGAAGAGCAACTTTGACTGAAATAACCACTCGTTACAACCGAGGTATGCAGCAAAGCATTTGTGAAGCCACAACACGCACAACCTTGAGGCGGATGGGCTACAACAGCAGAAGACCCCACCGGGTACCACTCATCTCCACTACAAATAGGAAAAAGAGGCTACAATTTGCAAGAGCTCACCAAAATTGGACAGTTGAAGACTGTAAAAATGTTGCCTGGTCTGATGAGTCTCGATTTCTGTTGAGACATTCAGATGGTAGAGTCAGAATTTGGCGTAAACAGAATGAGAACATGGATCCATCATGCCTTGTTACCACTGTGCAGGCTGGTGGTGGTGGTGTAATGGTGTGGGGGATGTTTTCTTGGCACACTTTAGGCCCCTTAGTGCCAATTGGGCATCGTTTAAATGCCACGGCCTACCTGAGCGTTGTTTCTGACCACGTCCATCCCTTTATGGCCACCATGTACCCATCCTCTGATGGCTACTTCCAGCAGGATAATGCACCATGTCACAAAGCTCGAATCATTTCAAATTGGTTTCTTGAACATGACAATGAGTTCACTGTACTAAAATGGCCCCCACAGTCACCAGATCTCAACCCAATAGAGCATCTTTGGGATGTGGTGGAACGGGAGCTTCGTGCCCTGGATGTGCATCCCACAAATCTCCATCAACTGCAAGCTGCTATCCATCAATATGGGCCAACATTTCTAAAGAATGCTTTCAGCACCTTGTTGAATCAATGCCACGTAGAATTAAGGCAGTTCTGAAGGCGAAAGGGGGTCAAACACAGTATTAGTATGGTGTTCCTAATAATCCTTTAGGTGAGTGTATATTTCCACTGATTTAGAATAGTCATTTTGGCGCTATTGGAAAAAAACAACTGAATGCTGCTGTTGCGTAAAACAATCCAACTGCCATTTACCAATATGAACTTATGAAAAATGAAATGTACTGAAATTATCCAATCCAAGTTTACTGTATTTCCAAATAGTTTTTTTGACCTCAGAAAGCATCATATAGAATAGCATGACAAAAACAAGAACAACTAATTCCTCCTCTTTGTTCTTTGTCATTCAATATTGCAAATATTTGTTTGACAATATTACCTTGCTCTTAAATACAAAACCATTGCATCCAACATATATTTTAAATGGGGCTTTTCAAATAAAATAACACACTATAAAACTGGAACAAAAAGGCAACTGCGATATTCTAACCAGTACTATGTACTTGTGCATGTCGTGCCATTAAAACCGTAAAGCATTAAAACTATTTAGAGTTTAGTTTAGATATAGAATGTTTCTTTGTTTTATCTGTCATAAACATCAATAATAGAAAGACAAGATGCCTTAGTTAACAGAAAATGGGAAACATTACAGACAGGTGCCACATATTGACGTTTCTCTACAAAAGGTATCATCAAGACCCACATTACTATTTTAAGTGCATTAATTACTGTTGGCGCCACGTGTTTAGAATGAAAGGGTTACTGATATTCACATTGGCAAATTATCATTCCACAGTGATTATTTTTGCATTAACCCATATTAAAAAGAGAAATAATGTTTTAAAATAAAGTCCTGGTCAAATCTGACCACATCAAACAGTTTTTTGGAAAATCAAAGCTGGAGATGGATGCTGCAAGTCTTTGTGTGGACAGTGGAATGTCCATATTAAACCAAGTTGCTGTGTGAGAGCAGAGGGTCCAATGCAGGTGACGGTGTCTTTTTAAATTATTACAATCCTTTGCAAGATGGAGAAGTGAGTGAAGATGTAGCCTTGGATGCCTGATGAGTCTGGTTGTTCACTGGCTGATCCTTCTTGTTTATTCAATGTTCAATTTCCATAGTTATTTCAGCATTTTTTATTCTTTGATTTATTTCATCATGTATTTATGTATTTGTTTCAGCACTTATTTGTTATTTTATATATCTTTATGCATGTATTTATTTATTTTTATTTTATTTCAGCATGTATTTATTTCATTTCTTTAGGTTTTTATTTTATTTCTGGATGTATTTATTTAATCATTTATTTATTTATTTATGCATGCATTTATTTAAGCATTTATTTATGCATGCATTTATTTATTTAAGCATTTTTTTATGTTATTTTATTTCAGCATGTATTTATTTAATCATTTATTTATTTATTTATGCATGCATTTATTTAAGCATTTATTTTATTTCAGCATGTATTTAATTAATCATTTATTTATTTATGCATGCATTTATTTAGGCATTTTTTATGTTATTTTATTTCAGCATATATTTATTTAATCATTTATTTATTTCTGTATGCATGTATTTATTTAATTTTTTTTATTTATCCATGTATTTATACTTTTACTTATTTATGCATGTATTTAATCATTATATAAATTTATCTATGCACGCATTTATTTAAGCATTTATTTATTTATGCATGTATTTGTACTTTTATTTATTAACGCATTTATTTATTTAATCTTTTATATTTTATTTATTTATGGATGTATTTGTACTTTACTTTATTTATGCATGTAATTATTTAATTATTCTTTAATTTATTTATGCATGCATTTATTAAAGCATTTATTTATTTATGCATGTATTTGTACTTTTATTTATTAACGCATTTATTTATTAAATCTTTTATATTTTATTTATTTATGGATGTATTTGTACTTTACTTTATTTATGCATGTAATTATTTAATCATTCTTTAATTTATTTATGCATGCATTTATTAAAGCATTTATTTATTTATGCATGTATTTGTACTTTACTTTATTTATGCATGCATTTATTAAAGCATTTATTTATTATGCATGTATTTGTACTTTTATTTCTATATGTATTTATTTAATTAATTAATTAAATTTATTTCTGCAATCATGTATTTACAGTGTTTTGGCTTTAGGTCCTCCCAACCAGCTGCCGTTTTAACTCAAGACGAAGAAGAAGATCTGTTTCAGTCACGTGACTCGGTGACGTAAGTGTCATGACGGACGCCTGCTGGGAGAGAGACTGAAAAGAGGAGGAAAAAGGTAATTTGATGGTTTTTATCTGCTCTCTCTGGGTCCACTAGTTCATGAAGCTGTCCGGGTTTTAACCGCTATCGCTCCGGGTCGATGAACCGTTTGAATTAAGCTGTAAAAGCTCGTGTTTTTTTATGTAGCAGCTAGCTTAGCTTAGCTTCCAGCCGTTTCCTGAGCAACAGCAGTTCAGCTGAAGTCTTCAGAGTTGTGTATTTGCTCAAAACAGCAACAAAAGCAACTCCTCAGGTTGTCATCGTGTCTCTGTGTGATCTCAGAGCTGAATGGCGGGAGGAGAAGCTCCAGGCGCTGTCGGCCATGTTGTCTGACTGAAGGAGCATCTGTCTGCTGAGGAGGAGGCGACATGAGTTCTTCACAGGAGGTCAGTGAAACGGTCACTCGGAGACGAACACGTCTTCAGCTGCGGTTTGAAGGAGGAAACAATAAAAACCTACACAAAATAAAAGTCAACTCGTGTTTCGACAGTTAAAGGCTTTTAATGTGAAGGTTCAGCAGCAGGAAATATTTCACCACCGCTGCAGAGTTTGTAGTACTGCAAATATATGAATATTGCAAAACAGTGGCCATTCTGCGAGCCGGATGTGGAGCATGGGGTACCAGTTGAGGGTCACTGCTGTACAGTTTGCACACAGAGGATGCAGCGCCACACTGCATCTCACCACCTGTTACAGGCTCCTCTTCATCGATTTCAGCGTTCAACAACAAGATTCACAGCAGCTGGTTGGAGAAGGTCGCTGTGTGTGGATGCTGGCACCTGCAACTGTGTCTTCAACGTCCTGTCAGAGAGGGCAGACCGACATCAGCAGCGACCACAGTGAGCACAGGTTCACCTCAGGGCTGGAGACCCCTGCTGGGCTGAGCTGATCTGAGAACGGTTCATACTGTCAAACAGCCTGCAAGTGAAACAGTCTGGATGTTTACACGTCACCTGAACGCAGCGTGGAGTCAGCTGAGGCACCGTGTGGTACTGTACGTTCAAATTAACCAGAGAGACTCCAGCTGTATCAGCTGTCGGTCATGTTTCATATTCTTCATAATTATATCCAATCATCATTCAGACCAAAATCAAGCCCTTCACTCAGGAAACACATCAGCTGGGGTGTAACAGCAAACCTTGATAATGATCGTTTCAGAAAATATAGTTACACAGGAATATTTAATCAAATTGTATTTTCTTTTAACGCCATGAAAACGTGCAGAGCTGCAGGTTGTGGAGTTTCCCCGTCATGGTCCTAGCCTGACACCTGGTGGACATGTCAGACATCTGCACCTACAGAAGTGTGTTCAGAAAAGGTTTTAATGAATTTGATTTGTAGTTTGTATCCTGGTTCAGGATGATTAACAGCTCTTTACCTAGATATAAAGTTGATCTTCTCTGATGCTGTCGAATAAACAATAGAAAGAGACACCACACTCCACACTGAACATGTATTTGTGATAATGCAATGCAATAATTGGCAATAAACTTCAAACGAAATGTTTGAAAAGAGGAGCAAGAGTCTCATTCGCTCGGCAGTGTTTAACCTTTACTGCAGAGTCAGGACTTCAGAGTTTAAGACAAAAAATAAACTCATGAGAGTTTCTGTAGTTCACAAACCTGCATGAATCACACAAAATGAAAATCAACTCGTGTTTCGGCAGTTAAATACTTTTAATGTGAAGCTTCAGCAGCAGGAAATGTTCGGTAACTTAATGCTGTATTTCTCTGGGAATTTCACCACAGCTGCAAATATCCTGCACCGCTGGATTCACATCCAAAATTTGATTAAGTTTTGCTGACAACACAACAGGTGGGTCTCATTGCTGACGGCGACGACGAGTCTGCCTACAGGATGGAGGTGGAGCAGAGGTCTCCCACAACCTCCATGGATGTTAACAAAACAAAGGAGTTTGTGACTGTCTCAGGTGGGAGGTCCAGCAGGAGGCTGAACAGCTGGTCCCGTAAATAACACACCGGCTCACCTTCTGACCCCGACGAAGAGTCAGCACGCCATCACGAGCTCATCACTTCCCTCCCGCAATATCCTCAACCATAAGGTGAAACCAGTAAATATTACAACATTAATGACTTTAAGCATTAAACACTTAATTTCCTGCATTCTGGAGACATTTTCTGCACCAGTTTATGGAGTAAATGTCTTTATTTAAATGAAAGGAAACTAAATTAAGGTGAGAGGTGACAATTCAAAATACAATGGAATTCAGTAATCACTTTTTGGACAATGCAAATTTGTTTTTTCCATATTTCAGTTGCATTGCACGTTTTCTTATTGTTTCATTTGTTATTTCACATTTCTAGTTGCTGCTGTTCAGAACATTGTTAACAAAAGCTTTCAAAAAGTGATGGAGAGATTCAGATTCTGACGTGTCCCCTGCGTCCCCCAGGGAAAATCTGTCAACTTTTAAATGTCCCGCCCCATCCGCACCCGAGCTTCTCCTGTCCCTCGTCTCTCTCCACCGGCAGAAAGAACGGGAGCAGGTGAGCGTCACGTAGCGCCCAGAGAACCTGATATGGAGAGGAGAGTACCGGCAGCTTGGGAGAAGTCCCGCCACACTTCAAGCACTGCTTCAACAAACTCTCAGAAGTGCGACCACACCGTTAGATGCGACACTCCAGCTCGTTGTAGACTCCGTGGCTGTGTGGGCGGAGTCAGTTATTCTGTTAGAAAAGTTATTTCCGGTCATGTTTTGTAAACAAAGAGGAGTGCTGCCCACGTGAGTCTCCGTCAGACCCACTTATTTCCTGTGTGCAGCAGGAGACATGATGATTTAAATAATTACACATACATCTGAATATTTCTATATGCATATTTTAAATTTGTAATATTTTCTTACTGAATCTCTGTAATTTTATTGTTCCACCACATGGTTACAGAATTTCAGATGACAAAATGTTCTTAAATGATAAAACACAGATTTTGGGCTCTAGCATTGTAGTTCCTCACTCGGGGGCTGTGTTTGAAACGGGCCAAACGATCTCTTCCTGTTGCGTAAGATTCCTTCAAACTGCCCCCATATCGGCCGGTTTTGAAGGCAGCATTTGGTGCTGCCTATTACCCATAAACCAGTGCGGCTGTGGCAGCTTACAAAAAATTATCAAGATGGCGGACAAAAACCCGAATCCGTATACAAATATAAGTTGTTTTTTTATCAGTTTTCTCGCTTTAATTTTTGAAAACGTAGCGAGAACTAAACACTGAGTTATTATATCAGCCAGTGACTGTAAACAACCAGGTTTGTTCAGTATGATTTTTGAGGCATCTGTTAGCCAGAAGCCAGAAGAGACGCAAGACGGCATGCTGATGTCCCGCGTTGCCGTAAGTGCTGCCCTAGAAGTCTAAGTGCGAACACAGCCTGGGTTTCTGGTGATACCGTTCAGATTCCAGTGTTTTCCTCTCCCCACATTTAAATCTGTAATCCTCACTGGGTGACACTCAGCAGCCATTTACATTGACAAAGAAACTGTATTTAATGTGGATCTATCAAGTCTGGTCGATACCCGATGCACTGAATCAGGTCAGTATCTGCGTCGTTCCGGGTGATTACATCAGTGCACCCTAACTGTGGCATCACTGCTGGGTGTGGTTTCAAGGTTTAAACCAGAAGAAGAAGTCCTCCACCTCGCTCACACCTGTCTTTATATCTCTGTCTGTCACAGAAAGTGGGCGCCTCAGAGAGACGCAGACCTCACCGCTGCCCGCTGTGTGACAAAGCATTCATGTCAACGCACCAGCTGAAGGATCATCAGAGTGTCCACACCGGAGAGAGACCATACCACTGTGACCTGTGCGGGAAAACCTTCACTCAGTTAAGCAGCGTAAGAACGCACCAGCGCGTCCACACGGGAGAGAAACCGTACCAGTGTGACCAGTGTGAGAAAGCTTTCACTCAGCCGAGCACGTTGAAACTCCACCGGCGCCGTCACTCTGGAGAGAAACCCTACAGCTGTGAACACTGCGGGAAGAGCTTCACTGATTCATTTTCATGCCGACAACACGAACACGTCCACACGGGTGACAAACCTTTCCAGTGTCAGCTCTGCGCCAAAACCTTCCTCACACAGTCGAATCTGACGAGACATCGGCGCCTCCACACGGGAGAGAAACTGTACGGCTGTCAGCTGTGCGGACGCAGTTTCAATCATCACTCCTCGTACACCGTCCACCAGCGGATCCACAGCGGAGAGAGACCCTACCGGTGTCGGTTCTGCGATAAAACCTTCACGTCATCCACCAACCACGCTGAGCACGAGCGCGTCCACACGGGGGAGAGACCGTTCAGCTGTGAGCAGTGTGGGAAGACTTTCAGCCACGTCACCACTCGCCTGCTGCACAAGCGCGTCCACACCGGTGAGAAACCGCACCGGTGTCAGCACTGCGGCAAAAGCTTCCTCACGTCGTCGAACCTGGCGAGACACGTGCGGACTCACACCGGGGAGAAGCCGTACTGGTGCGACCAGTGTAAGAAACACTTCACCTTCTCCAGTCAGCTGAAGAGACACCGCTGCGTCTGACGTCTGGGCACAGTGCTGACGTCTGCTGGACTCGAAGGAGGGTCATGTTTCGCCAACGCAGTTTACAATTTAAAATAAAAAATGTAAATATGTTATGTTCAAAACATTGAAGGAAAATGCTAAACATGAGTTGTTTCCTGCGTCTCCTGGGTGAGGATTTCCTGTTTTACGCTGACGTAAATCTAAAACGGTCATCTACATCAACTTGAACAGTCGGACACTGATGGACATTTTCACTGTGACAGTTTGAACGGTTTAGGGCTACAAATTATTTATTTATTTACTGAGTTAATTGTTTGGTCTAAAAAAATCCATTGCGGTTTGTCAGAGACGATGAAGATGACATCTTTTTTTTTTTTTCCCGACCAACAACCCAAACAAGATTTGTTTATTTTTGTTGGAGATGAAGAAAACCAACATTTAGAGGTGAAGCTGCAGCCAGTGACTTTCATCACTGAGAGGGAATGTAAATAGGTTTTATTTAATATGGAAACATTTATAGATTATTTCAGTATGGAAAGCTCATGATAAAAATCTATTTATTAATTTATTTATGTCTGTCTGAAGTACTCCCTCCATGTAAATAAACGTATGTACTTTTCGCTACATAAAGTTCTGAAACCCAAATAAACAGGTTGAAAATAATAAAATGAGTTTTCTGTCGTTCAACTAATTAACTAACTGCTTTAATTTATCAAAATATATATTTAATGTATATAATTGATAATGAAGATGATAGCTGCAGCTTGCTCATTGAGAATTGACCCGAAATGCTAAAATCTTAACTAATTACTTGACGAATTAATGATCACGTATTAGCAGCGTCTTTATAACTAATGTATTTTTATTAGAAACTTCTTTAGTTAGCATTTTTCATGTTCAGCTAACAACAAATAAAATACAATTTTTAGAATTATGTTTATTTCCTTACTTGTGAAACCAAATCACATGAACTGTCTTCTTTATTCACCTTTTTATTAAGTACCGTATTTATTTATTGCCTGTTATTGTCTTCAACTTTATTTTTGTTACATTTGTGTGCATTTTAAAATGTCTTTCTTTGCATTTTCTACCCTATTTATTTCCCCCATGGTATTTATTTCTGCCTGTCCTTTTTACATTTCTGTATGCATTTCTGCCTCATTATGCAAATGAGGAGGGGGTGTGTCTCAAGGGGTGAACTTCTCCCCTATTGGTCAGACATCAACAAGCTCGCTCCTCACACAGTCAGATGGCTTCCTTCGGTGAACTGAGGTGTTTATCAACTCTGTTTGAAGACAATGCTACAGAAGAAGAAAACAATGGCAAGTTTAATCTAAAGTAACAGATCATATGTTGATGTGAAATCTTAATCTGTAACTAAAGCTGTAAAATAAATGTTGTGAAGTGAAAATTAGAATATTTCCCTCTGAAATGTGGCAGCGATACTCAAGTAGAGAACCACAGACTTGCTGTTGGGAGTTAAAGGCATGAAAGTTGAGTTCCTCTTCAGCTCCAGCAGAGGGAGGTCTTGATGTTTCCTCAGCTTCACCGTCGGATAAGAGAACTACACTGTGTTTCATCAGTACTTCCACTTCCTGTCAGCCTGTGGCGTCACATCGTGGATTTAAATGGAGCGCAGCAGCTCTTATACTTTCTTTTTTTACTAACCACTTTCAGCCCAAACTCGACCGATCAGTTGTTGCTTAGCGCGGTACAGCTTTAAAATTTTTTAATTCGGTTAGTTGAATATATGAAAGTTTGTTTGTTTAAACTCGAATATTAATTGATTGGAAAAACGTGCCGTGCTCAATTTATTCACCCTCTCCTCCTTTGGTGGCATTAACCAGAGTTTTGCGTACACGACAGCCACCTGACCGTGGATGTATTTTCTTGTACCAAATGTATAACAACAATGCATTGTGGGTGAGCAGAGTCGCTGCCCTCAGAGAGTCGATCTCAACAAGTTCCCTTCAGTGTTTCAGACAAATGGAACAACACATGTGATGCCGGCGGCGGCGACTCAAAGTGAACGAAGGTATGTGGAGCAGGTGAACCTGCAGGTGAGTCATTTATCTGATTAAATTCTTATTTGTGAAAACATGCGCTCGTAGATATGATGATGAAATACACAATGGTTTCATTTGTATCTGTAAAACACTTTGTTTTGTTAAAGTATTATAAAACTTACTATCTATAAACCTGATAACCTTGGTATTTGTATTTATGGGTTAAAATTAAATCTCTGCCATCACAATTAATTTGTCTTATTATTATAATAATAATAACAAAATAATAAAGCCTCATAAAATAAATAGATAAATTAATGAATAAATAGAAACTGCAGACAGATTAACTCAAATTCAGCACAATACAGAAGAATTGAAGTATTGGTCAGCAATAAAAACAGTCAAAACGTAGATTTAAAAAATTTTAATTAAATGAAAGTTGCCCAGACAGAACTATAAACACATATATTTTGTAAATGAATATATATTTATAATATAACACATGGAAGGACTGCATTTTGTGTTTTGTTAAGTTAATAATGCAAAAGAAACTTCCAGTTTCTACAACATAATTTCATGATTGTAAACCGAATATTTTGGTGTGTTTGGACAGAACAACTAGTTTAAGGATTGATGTAACATTTCTCTGTCTGTTTCAGCTGTAACCACAGCTGTGATGTCACCGTGTACCAGAGCACACCTGTCCATCACTGCAGCCAGGTGAGAAGTGAAACCACCGGAGGTCAGCAAAGATTAGATTTCCAGTATGTTAACTTGGAAACTTTGAAGAGGCCTATACTTTTTCACTTTTCCTGACTATTTTTGTGTAAAACGTGTTAGCAGCGGTGGGAAGTAGGTGCAGTATTTCATAATACTTTTTACTTCACTGCATGCATCTGACCACATTAATAACTTTGCAGATTCAGATTAATAATTAAAATTCTAAACTAAACTGATATTATGTATAAATTATTGATTAAACTACGCTGCTGTTAATGTTAAGCAATTACAATTAAGATGCAACATTAAAGTGATGAACACATGAATGCATAAATAAACATTATCCGTAGGACTATCAGAGCAGCACCAGCTTGTCATTGTACTTTTACTTTTGGCACTTCTTGTACTTTTAAAAGCAGATTTGTCGTATTTCTGCTTGGAGGAAAAAAAAGAATGAACTACCAGAAGAGTTAGCGATTATTTAAAGTGTTTTGTTGTTGATCGCTGAATAGTTTCAGCTCTAGAGATGAATTGTGTTAAACTGTGTGCTGCCAGTGATCAGCAGCAGGAGGCGGAGATGGTGGAGAGAGGTTACCGTGGTAATTACAGGGTTAACAAGCAGGGCTGTAACCACACACACACACACACACACTCTCAGATATCCCAGGAAGCTAAATCACAGGTTTCTCTCCTCACATTCATGTTGTGTCTATAAACTGAGGAATCTGTCGAGCTCACGGGAAAAGCACCAATCAGGTTTCTGGCAGCTCCGCCCATCAGAGACGTGTGTGCGTCCTCTAAAGCAGATGTTAAACACACAAATCAGGTTCCTGTCCTTCCTCTTCCTCTCTCCTCCCGCAGGTGATGCCTCAGAGGTCGGAGGTTAAATCTGGTAATTAGTTCATTATTTCAGTCGTTTAATGAAGCAAGACGTTTGTATTTATGTTTGTAAGACTTCATTTTACCGGTCGTGTGATCAGTAGTTTTCCTGGATGTTTATTTATGTTTAATATCAATAATCTGAAAAATATATTGTAGGAAACATTTAAACGCTGGACTCTGAAATAGATATTTAACGCAGACTTCACATCAGATATCTGTACTCGTGTCTCGATATTATTATCCTAAATGTACTTTATTGCTTTCCACTACTTGTTTTATATACTCGTAAACTAAATATTTTCAGGTTTTGGTCTCAACATGTCAGAAAAATAAAAAGGTTAATTGACGAATCTGAAGTTGCAGCCGTAGTAAACAAAAAGGTAATACATGTCTGTATCTTTTCTTCATCAACAGGATGTGATGTCACCTGTCAATCAGATTGTGTGGGCGGGGCCGAGATCTTCTGTCACGGTCAGTACCTTTTAACTCTTCTTCTGTTTTGAAGTGTAAATGTAAACTGCTGTTCAGAGGAGCGAATGAAGAAGAGACTTTAATTAATTAACAGGTTTATTGATACTGGGAGGTGATGGCGCCTATCCTGACACCTAGTGGACATTTCAGACAACTGCACCTACAGGAGAGTGTTCAGTAAGAGTGTTGAAAAGAGACCCGGGTTTGATTCCCACTGTGACCCATCCACCATTGTGTCCCTGAGCAAGACACTTAACTGCTAGTTGCTCCAGAGGCGTGCGACCTCTGACATGTACAGCAATTGTAAGTCGCTTTGGATAAAAGCTACAGATAAATTAATAGATGTAAATGATAAGTTTCAGTATTGGGCAGAAATATATTTACAAATTCAGATTAATCCGGTCTTTCAAAAGAACTTTAAACACAAATTAAAAAAAAAATCTGGGAAGTGAAATTGATTTTAAGACGAATAAGTATAAACATTCGAGCTCACGATCTCATCAACAATGACTCCAGACGAGATCTTTGTATCTTTGGTGTTTCCTGTTTCTCACCACAAAGTTATTTAAATGTTGTTTCGGTGAATTAGAGAAATCTGACATTTCTACAAGTTGACCCGTTTTCAGATTTTATAAATCAGAAGTAGAGATCAGTCATGTCAAAGTCCTTATAGGCAAGTCCCGTCACTTGGCCGCCATCTTTTCCCCACAGAGTTTTATTGAGGATTCTTAAAGTCACGTGTCTCCTCTGTAAAACGTCTCTGGTCGGGTCCCCTGAGCGTCCTGCAGAGCGGCAGCTCACCACCAGGGGCAGCAGTGTGAAATATTTTATTTTTTCTTTACCTTTATAACTGTGGGGTGTTGCTGTGTAGTGACTTGTGTAGCTGACCTCGGCTGTCTCGCACGCTGATTGATGTTATATCCATGTCAGATCTTCTGGTGTCAGGCGCGGAGTGGTTTACTTTATCGGTTGCTGAACAGTAAGCTACTGTGACAGCAGCCACCTGTCACTCAAAGTGGACATGACCTTTATTAAGCATAACTTTAAGCCTTAATATAATAAAATCTGGTGAGTTATATAAAAGGTCAGCACAGTTGTCATGAACGTAGACAGAAGCTTCAGAGACCAAACCCTGTTTTTTGTACCAGGCTGTTTATTTCAGCTCTGCTGGGATCAAAGACTGTATATTGACTTATTAGTGGCCAAACGATGCACTGCAGTTTTTGGATAGATTTTATATTCTGTCAGCTTTTTAATTAAAGCTCCTGCTGCTTGAACACAAACAAAAAAACAAAAATAAAACCCAAATGTTTTCTCAACTCGTCTTTCTTCTTCTTCTTAGTTCGACAAACGAGGACGTTCATGTAAAAACTGCTGATCGATCTGATGACAGGAATGTGGCGTTTACAGGAGGCGCAGTGAGTCGTCTGTAAACGTTCAGTTCAGTCTTAAGTGAAAACTGTCTGCTGTGATGTCATCGACACGCCCCACGTCTCAGTGTGACATCATCCACAGCGATATGCCCTCGCCGTCCTTTTCTCCGCTCGGCCTTTAACAGCACCTGCAGACACACACCGGTGGTCAACAACAACATAAACACTCACACAAAACTCTTTTGTGTTTGTTTGTCTGGCTGTTTGTGTCTCACCCTTTCCAGAGAATGCGTCGTCAAGGTAACCTGTGTTTGCCTCCAACTGTGTCCACCTGTCCTGCTCCAGAGGGCGGGGCTATACCTGCAACAGCCAATCAGGGACAAGACGTCACACAGGTGATTCCATGAGGAGCTATTTCCCCGCTCGAGAAACGTAACGTGTTGTTGTTGTTTACAGGAACATGTAGCACCGGTACCTTTGGTCTCGTCCCCTTTTCCTGGTGAACAGCTGCAGCACGCCAACATGATGCCCTGTCAGCCAATGGGAGAAGGAGAAACACAGGTCGCCGTGACTCCAGGCCGGGTCAATCTGGACGGCCAATCGAGCGCCGCGGATGCTCCTTTGTCCCACCTTCAGCTCCGGGACGGACAGGTAACGCCCACCTGAAATATTAATGCTGTAGTTTACTAACGATTACCTGGTAGAGTCTGAGACATTCAGTTCACGATCACATGAAACACAGAAGAAGAAATCCTCATCATGACAAAGCACTTTTCTGATAAATGATGTTTAACATTTTTCCCAGTTTGGTGTGAAAGAACTTGACTGGTCCGCTCTGACCTCTGACCTCAACCCTCTCCATCACATTCAGGATGAACTAGAACAGAGATTGCGAGCCAGGCCGTCTCGTCCAACATCAGTGTCGGACCTCACAGACGCTCTTTAAAAGTGATGTGTAGGTGTCCCAGTACTTTTGTCCATTTAGTGGATCTTAGAGCTGAAACGATTGGTCTGTTAAACTATTTTATAACTGATGAACAGTTAATATGCCAAATGTTCACCACTCCCTGCTCGTGAGCTCAGAGTTAAAGATGTAAAGGTGTTCCTAATAAAGTGGACACGCAGGTAATATACATTAATATATGTGTTTGTTACCTGCAGGGTTGTGAACAGTCTCCCAGTGTAGATCTCCTTCTCTGTCCGACATCCAGTCACACACTCCGTGATCGAAGGTGCAGAGCAGCACACCAGCCTCTGCAACACACACACACACACACACACACACACACACGTTTACATGTTGTAGTCTGCAACTAAAATAGGTCCCTGGGGCCTGTACCATGAAGTGAGTTCAACATACACGGGATATCTTTACGGTATCTGGCTTCACTAACCCTAACAATTGTGATCGGGATCAGTGGTCACATTGTTGTGGACAAGATACTGATTTCATTTTGTTAATTTAGGTCATTAAGTAAAGCAATCTTCAGCTGAAGCTGAATATCAAAAACTGTAAAAAAAAATATATATATATATATATATTTACAGTGTTAATGTGACGCCTCATAAAAGGTCTGGTTATGGTAATTATTTAATGTTACAAATGAGAATACACTGAAAATGCTGACTGAGAGCTTTTATTTTGAAGGTTCAAGGAAGGTAGTAGTAAGATTTAGTAAAATAAAAAGGTGCGTTTACGATGTCGCGTGCAGCAGCTGTTTTACCCCGTGAGCACAACACACATGATGCCTGTTAACTCGTTAGCAGCAGATGACCAATCACCGACAGGAACAAGTCTACTGGCAGCAGAGCGTCTCATTTTACAAACTAAGAGCAAACTAATATTAAACAAACAGACAGGAACAGAAAATCTCTAAGTTAACAGGCGTAGCCACTAACGCGATATGTGTTGATTGATGTATTTTATGGCGTGTATCACAATTTTAGAAGGACAGGTGGGACAAAAAGAAACTCACCCAGGAGAGCGGTCAAAAAGTCGACCCGGTTTCCTTTTTGCTAATCAAACTGCGACATTTCACAACGTTAACCACCAGTTTTATTTTTAAAGTCTTACTCAGAGCCCTAACTTTCTACAGTTTGTGTGTACGACGCTGCTCTAACTGCTTTCCTTCATGAGATTTCACTTTGATGTTACTTCTGTTTGTATCGTTGAATGTAGGCTCGACCCAGATCATCTGCTCTCATCCTGACGTGTGAACAAGTGCAGCTGCTGAAATGTGAAACAGGAAACGACGCGAACCTGCAGACAAAACAGCCGTTTGTTGTTATAAAGACAAAAAATCTGGGTTAAAGAAGGGATCAGCACACGCAGGTAAGCAGGGATTGTCTGAGCTACAGAGAGTCGGAGGGGAGCAAAATGTGTTTTGTGGTGGAAAAAGTAGCTGCCTGCCCTCATTTGCTGGACGTGGATGTCGACTCCTACAGATTTTAGCGTGCTAGATATCTGGCAGACGTCGGCGATGTGTCACAAATGCGTCGTTGTGTAGTTCACACATTACGACTGGCGGCCGCTGATTTGCCCCCGATCACAGCCTGACTGTCGCCGAGCGGCAAATCGGGCTGAAAATTGTGTAGTGTGAACTTGGCTTTACTTACCAGGATCGTCTCTGGCGTCCTCGGAGGTGTTTCCCAGCTCGATGTCAAACTCCCACACCTGGTTGTGACCCGGATGTCGAGGGACTACACACACACACACACACATATTATTTTCAATTAATCTGTCGATAAATTCTTTGGTAAAATTCACACTGGAGAAGCTGAAACTACAGAATTTTGGCATTTCGTCTTTTAAAAAAACGTCTCAACACTTAATCAAATATCGAAATAGTTGCAGAGCGATATTTCTGTTAATTGATTAATTGACTGTGTGTGCGCGCGTCCTCACTGTGCACGTCTCCTCTCTGCCTCTGTGTCACCTCCTTATTGATCCTGTTGTTCAGCGTGGTCGTTACCACGGCGGTGGCGGGAGTCGGGGTTGTCACGGCAACTGTGGCAGCTGTTGTCGGTTCCACTGTAGTCGGAGTCGTAGTAGTGTTGGTTTGAATAGTGGTGGTCGGAGTTGGAGTAGTCGGAGTAGGAGTAGTAGGTGGTAGTAGTAACAGTAGTTGTGGTTGGCAGAGGGGATGAAGTAGTCATGCTAGCAGTGGTCGTAGCAGGTGGTGAAGAAGTAGTAGTAGTAGTAGTAGGTATTGGAGTGGTGGTGGTAGCAGGTATTGGAGTGGTGGTGGTAGTAGGTATTGGAGTAGTTGTGGTGGTCGTAGCAGGTGTAGTAGTAGCCGGGGTGGTTGTTGCTATTGTAGTGGTCGTCGTAGTGGTTGGCTGAGCTGTAGTAGTAATAGTAGTAGCAGGTATTGGAGTAGTGGTGGTGGTGGTGGTAGCAGGTATTGGAGTAGTGGTGGTAGCAGGTATTGGAGTGGTGGTGGTGGGAGTTGTAGTTCTCGCCGGTGTCGGGCTTGTAGTTCTCGGTCTCTGTGGCTCCAGGGTGACTTTGAGGACTGCTGGGAGAAAACGGACACTTCCTCAGTGAGGACACCATCAACTGTAGATGCTTCACGTCCTTTTTAAATAGCGTTCAGGAACATTTTAGATCCTGTCAGACTGAAACCAGGGACGCTGCGCCGCATGGTCAGCGTAATCACATCACTATTATGTAGTTTGGGTTGTAGCTTTACAAATAAATAAAAAAAATCACTAAGTCCAGCTGTTTTCATGTATCTACTGTGTTTACTGGTTTTACTGTTTGTATTAATGGTGACACACGTGATGTTACACGTACAGTATCAACTGATAGCCGTGTGCGTCAAGTTTCTATCGTCACATTAATCTGCAGGACAGCTTCACATTTCTTCAGGTTTAAACCAACACTGAAACAGTTCCTGCTCGCTGTAATCTGTACTGAATAAAGTGTTTTTTCTATGTCAGTTTATTTAGTTTCATAAAGGCTAAAGGTAGCAGTGACGGTTTAGTCTCAACCAGTAAATCCTGCCAGTGAGCCGGGACCAGCTTTAATGTTATCAATCCCACCTGTGCGCTTTCTGCTGTGAGATATGCAACTGTGACACTGAGTTATTCTGCTGCTAATCTGACAGATATGGGACATGCTCCTACAAAAACCAAAATCCCAAATATCAGCAACAAATAACTGATTATATTATATTAATAGTAATATTTTGATTTATTTAGTGATGATGTCTGTGTGAGAGTCTCCAGCAGTGAAGTATTTTCTAACTGGCATCCCGTTTGTTTACACATATGAACGATCTCTCCTTTGATTATGTTTTGCTGTGTTTCATCAGGAATCTGAGAGTTTTAGGAGAAGGTGTTGACCCGACTCTTCACTGAGGAGCTACGCGGCTGTTTGTGGCGAGGAGGCGGTGTTACCTGTACAGCTGCCGTCTTTACACCTGCACTTCGGAGAGGCTGGATTCAAATCGCAGAACGGCCGAGTGTCCTTATCTGGTGACACAGAGAGAGATTATTAACAGTCACTCTGAAGTTTGTACACTTGTTTTCTGAATAATAAAATATCACTTTTTGGTTTGTAAGTCAGCTCTCAGATTTTTATCCAAAAGGTTTCTTCCATTACAAGGTTTTGTTAAAGTTGAAGAGGTTAAGCAGACAACATCAGTATTGGAGGAAATCATTTTGTCCAGTTTTAACTTTGGTGTTACGGATTACAAACTTTCACAACAGAGACCTGACAAACCTGTCATTCAAACAGTTTGTTAACCAACACCGAGCACATTCATGTGGAAATGCTGAACAGCGTCATTGAAAATTATTTCATAAAACACCTCAACGAAGCTGAAGACGAGCTCAAAGCTACAAGACAAACAACATGAAGATGTTTTAGTGTTTGACCGTCAGGAAGGAGCAGATTAAATCCGCCAGTGTAGTTTATGTTAAGATTGTATTTTCGCGATGCTAATGTCTGTTAGCACGTTAATGGAGATTCCCATTATGTGTTAGCATTGAGCTAACCGTTGAAGCACTATTTATTAATATTATGTATCGATCTGATGGGCTGGAATATCGATACAGTATCATGGAAAAATGTACAACGATATATTGGCAAATCGATTTATTGTCACACCCCTACCAGACACACTGACATGACAATAATTACTCATTGATTAAGGAAAAATCATGTATTTACTGAACATTTAAAGTCAAATGCTTCATCATTTATGCATTGCCCTGAAAATTAGTTAATGGAATAAGAAATAGTAATGTAACATTAATGATTTTAAACACCCAACAGGTTGACTGCTTGAAGTCGTTACGTTACATAACGCTGAATTTCAGCCGTGGCGTTCTGTCCGGAGATGCTTAAAGATGAGTCAGGCAACATGAACGAAGAGTTGCTGCAAGACTTTTAAAGTATCCAACACAAAAAAAACTCCAGATGTTTATCACTGTTTGGTCAATAGCACTGACTGCAGACACGGGGAGAACATGCAAACTCCACACAGAAAGGCCGGGATGACCGGGGTTTGAACCCGCGACCTCCTTACTATGAGGCCACAGTACTATCCACTGGAGCACTGTGCAGCGCAGACAGGATGGCAGCCAATCTTTTCATTTAGACTGGATGAATGAAGTTACAGCAGGTATAACTTGGCTCAGGCTGAACTAATCATGTGACCGCCTGGCAGAGGGAGCGTTTGGGAGTTGAGGGAGGGGTCGAGAGCCGCCGCTGTAAAGAGAAGGGCTGCGCTGGATTCATAACAAGAGTATCTTTGTGAAACTGAATGAAGTAATCGTTTTATCTGGATTATCTTGGTTTCTTAATCATTGGAAGCCGAAATATTTCAAATTAAATTAATCACCCAGCCAACATTTACAAACGACCATGGTTTAGGTTCAAATAAGTACGTTATCTCAGGGCGTAAGATCAGAGCCTGCAGAGGGAACAGGAGGTGACTGAACTTCAGGTAAAGCTCTTTTATGTAAAGCTACGTCTCCACACATCGAACACAAAGTGAGCCAGACTGGACCCGGTCTAACTTGGTCCCATCACACGTCAGATTCACCATCAGAGCTACAGTCCTGATGTGTGTCTACAGCTCAGTGTAAGACTCACCGATGCAGGTGTATCGTCCGTTGATGTAGGCGAGCTTGAAGCCGTGGTGACATTTACACAAGAAGCTCCCAAACGTGTTCACACACTTCCTGTGACGAGGACACACGCCGCCGCCCAACGCACACTCGTCGATGTCTGCAGAGAGGGAGAGGAGGAGGTTGAACTACATGTCGGTCAGCGTTTTATCCTCCATCTGCGGAGAAACAGACTGACTGACCGATACAGGTGCGTCTGTCTGGTCCCAGCCGTAACCCTGGGGACGGACAGGTGCATCGGACCGCCCCCTTCATGACCTCGCAGCCGTACTGACAGTTGGCATGGTAACAGGTTTGAGCATCTGTAAGTACACAGATAAAAGAGGAACACAAGTTTAACAAGCTTATAATCAGTTTGGAGTCGAATTGTCATCGTCGATCTTTTCAAACTCAACATTCAAACTTTAACGTGGAAATGTTTAAATTTCCAAAGACACCAAACACGGCGGCCATTTGATGGAACAGTGCAGCCATAAAAACGTGGCGTCTTTGATTTACGTATTTGATAAAGTTACTTAAGGGAAACGTTTTGAGATATATTTTGATAACATTTAATGGATGCGTTGTTTTTTTCTCCTGCCAAATTTCAGACAACGCTCATCTGAAAGTTTTGCGTCGAGTGCCCTGCCCTGCCTCTGATTGGCTAACCCTAACCTTACCTACGTTACCAACGAGTACTGACCAATCACAGGCAGACAGTGATTGTAAGTAGCTAAGGATAAAATCGTCAGCTAAACGACTAATTATCATTTATTCTTTCTTAAAAAAGCGTAAAACTTAAACTAAGGTTTCGTAAAAACTGCTCGCTATCAAAAACACTGCAAAAACTAAAATCTTAGTAAGATTAATTATCTTAATTGAAGGCAAAATATACTTGTTTTTTGTCTGACAAGATATTTCTTCTGACCAGGCGACTTTTATGTTTGAGAATTTCGCTTATTTCAAGTTTTTTGGCCTTAAGTGACAAGTGAAATATTCTTGTTCTGTTGGCAGATAATTTTGCTTATTTTATGTAAGATTTCCCCCATTTTAATGCTTTTTTTTCTTGTTTTTGAGAGCTCAGTTTTTGCAGTGAAGCTGATTAAGCCAAATAAAACTGAAGTCTCGTGGCCCGTTTAAAGTTTGAATCATTTTTCTACATGAGAGTATGATGAAGTAAAATAAGCGCAAAGAGGGGCGGGTTTGAGGGACAGTTTCCCGTCGTGTGTGTGGAAAGTAATCGCACCAAACTTCAGTACGGAAAATTAAGAATAATAACGTATGTGGGAAAACAACCTGCTGTATCAGAGAGAATCACTGCATCATCATTGCTGCGCCAGACAGAGGCCAGCAACACAAAGTTTTATATTTTACAGTTTTCGTATGGAATTTCATCACTATGTGTGGATCGCTGGTGTGTGTGTCGCATTGAACATTAAGTCGCGGCAGTTGTGTGTGGCGTTGCTATGACGACCAGCTACACTGAAGGGTACTACCTCTGGGTACTATCTGCAATGGAAAACGGAGCACGGCCAAACTGCGTCGCGTAGAGTCGAGTCGAGCTGGTACTGGTGATGTTAAAGCGGTATTAGTGACAGCTGACTGTTAGCTCGGTGTGTCAGGAGTGTTGGCGTGTGCGTGTGCGTGTGCGTGTGCATGTGCGTGCACTCACTCCTGCAGCTGCCGTCCGGCTGCAGTGTGTATCCATCCAGGCAGTAACACTTGTAGCTGCCCGGCGTGTTCATGCAGCGATGCTTACAGGGCCGAGGCTTCACGCCGCACTCGTTCAGATCTGACACACACACACACACACACACACACACACACACACACACACACACACACACACACACACACACACACACACACACACACACACACACACACACACACACGGAGAAAGGTCAGTAATCAAACATTAAGCTGAGAGCACATTTTCTCTCTGTTTTCCCTCTCCTTGTCAAATTGTAGGATTAACCTTTGACTTCCAGCCCTGTTAGTCACGAAGAGCAGTTTAAGTGTGTGAGTAGTGTTATATTACAGAGTGTGTGTGTTTGTGTGTGTGTGTTATATTACAGAGTGTGTGTGTTTGTGTGTGTGTGTTATATTACAGAGTGTGTGTGTTTGTGTGTGTGTGTTATATTACAGAGTGTGTGTGTTTGTGTGTGTGTGTTATATTACAGAGTGTGTGTTTTTGTGTGTGTGTGTTATATTACAGAGTGTGTGTTTTTGTGTGTGTGAAACCCCAGTTTAAGGCCAGATGTTGTTTTATAGTCAGGATATGACTCATGATGTAGCCTCTAATCAGGAGATTAACAGTGTGTGTAGGTGTGTTTGTTTGTGTGAAGGTGGGTGGAGTGTGTGTTGGTCTAAGTTTGGAAACACAAGTGTGTGTGTGTGTGTGTGTGTGTGTGTGTGTGTGTGTGTATTTGGGGGTCTTCAGGTAAAACACGCCTTTGCAGGTCAAACAAGCATGACAGGAATGTGTCTCTCGCTTTTTTTCCCCCCTCAGAGGCATGATGGGAAATCAAATCTCTGTGAAACTTCAGAGAGCTGCACACACACACAGCTTACAGTCGTTCCCTGCAGACTTACATTAACCTTAAACCAAGTCCTCACCCTCTAATGTAATGATTAACGTTATGAGTTCCCACAACGTGACTGTTAACAGACTTATGTCCCCACAACATGAGAGACACACACACACACACACATTACCTTGGTTACAGGCCTTGCCGGTGTATCCTGGGTGACATTTGCATCTGTCTGGTCCGACACACTCTCCATGTTTACAGCCCTGCTGACAGTGAGCTGCGCACACACACACGAAGAGTTAATAAACATTTCAAAGAGTTAATGAACTGTGTAATCACGTGTTCTGCAGGTGGAAAAGCTGCCAGTGTTTGAACACGTTCCAAATCATCCATCAGCTTGTCGATTTGTTGCCTTCGCAGACTAATAGAAAAACGTTGTGTTCAAGGAGGCTCCAAGCGTTCAGACCTGGCTGCCTTTCTAATGTGAAACAACATGAAGTCATCCTGTTATCTTTGCCTCTCTCTCTACCTGAAACCTTCAGCAGCTCGGGCTGAAGCTGCAAATGTATTTTAAAATCCTGACGTCGGCCTCTTGAAGCCTCTTTACTCTTTCTGATGTTGTTGTGTAGTTTTTAGCATAAAATACTTTTGCATTTTTTTGTATTGGAAATATTTCTCATGATTTTTTATAATCACTTTTCAGTTTAATTCTGAATTTGAGGCTCAGTTTTTCTCTCAGGTAACTCGTTATTGCTGCCTTTCCTGGATTCTCAACGGAGGGTTTCCTGCTTAAATAAAATACAAAAAGCAAACTGACTATTTCACACAGCAGAAGCCTCACAATTAACTAACATGATTTTACTCCTATTCTGGTGTGTTTTTAGTTGTACCTGTTCATCTCACATAGGCCTATGACCTTTATTATTTATATTTATTTGATTCTTTACAGCTGCTGCTTTGGGATTTTCTGTATGTGAAGAACTTTGTAAACATTGTTTTTAGAAAAGTTTATTATTAAATGTTATTACGTAGACCAGAGGGTTTCAAAGTGTGAGGCGGGCCTCCCCAGGGGGGCTCTCAACAGCTTCAGGGGAGGCTCGGTTAATGGAAGGACAACAATATTAGCTATTACATTAGTTATCAAAAAGCGATCACCTAGAACAGCCTACATGTGTGTAACTTGGTTAAAGAGAGAGTTACATTAGTTTTGGGGAACTGTTTACCAACTTTCATAGAGTCAAAAACTAATAAATGCCTTTAGGACAACCCTTTTATTTTATGTATTTGGTGTAGTCTGAGGTCAAACAGCAGTATCAGGCTGTCTTGGCTATGGGATCAAATATAATAATCATCCAGCAATTGAGTGAAACTAAGCGAGTAAACTCAGTGGAGGTGAAGGAGCCTCAGACTCTTCAAACCTCTGATTTCAGCCATCATCTACTAATTTCATTGATGACAGGACGAGATGCATCAGGATCTGGGGGCTAAAGCGAGGATGGAAATCATGTTAGTACTGATGGATCATCTGGAAACTGATCAGCAGGCACGTAAAGATCACAGGATTGTGTTACTGCTAACACGTGTAAAACTACCACCTCTCAGGATGTGTGTGTGTGTGTGTGTGTGTGTATGTGTGTGTTTTCATGTCCTCACGTTGACAGCGTCCCCGGGCCATCTGTCTCCAGCCCCAGCAACACTCCACGCTGTTGCGATAGCGACAGAGACCGTCTGACAACACCGCCTGGTCCGGCCAGCTGCAACACACATTTGCACAAATAAGCCATATACATATATTCACGTTAGACAGTTCAGGCGCCTGCAGAGGATTTAAGTTCTGCAGCTGCCCGACATCATGTGACCTTCTGGATGAGCAGAATTTAAAAATAAAGAGTGTGAAATTAAGTTAATCCTCTCCTGCAACAAACAGAAGAGATCTAATTTCATGGTATAAAACTGCACACTTTGCAGAGTAGCTGCAGTGAAGCGGCTGCACTGGTTCAGACCGGCTGAAGTGTGTCTATACGTTCTTGACATCTCCTGTTTCCACGTGCCTGTCTGAACATGAATTATATCAGCCAGAGAGGAGGCCGGGCCCTGAGCTCCTCTTTTTCCACTCCCTCTACATACTTTCCCTTCTTCCTCTCTCTGCCCTCCATCGTTAGTCCTTCTTGGCCATTTTCTCCCACCTTTAACTCCTCAGTCTCGGTTTAATGTCAGAGCATTATTATTAGATTATATAATCTACTTTAATGATTACCTCTGCAAGTGCCTCTGAGCCACAACCAGCATCCGTTTAATGAGTCAAATGTAAAACAATCAGTTTAAATGGAGAAAGAAAAAAGATAAAGTGCATCAGACACCTGGCTCTATTTGGATGTAAATGATAATTTACACTCGTGTCTTTGTTTCTATAAGCCTGTTTGAAGGTTTACTACCTTGCAAGGCACCAGAGGAATATAATTATTAAGGATAATTAGTTTAAAGTACCATAAAGCAAGTTACAGTCACTGTAAAATCAATATTGAGAGTTAACAATATGTCAAGAAAGGTTTTTTCTTTTTTAAGAAAAAAAAAAAAACTTAAAATTTCAACATTATAGAAACTTTATGTTTGTAAGATAAAGACCTGTCATAGTCCAAACGCTGGCTCTGGCTCCACATACAGGACAGCAGAACCAGGCTGATCCGGGTCAGCATCCTGCTCCTTTAACCAGGTCAGTCCACTTGGCTAAGAAGACCAGAGTTAGCCTATTATCCCACTCCGGTCCGTTCCGGTCCGACACGGGACAAAAACCAAGTTAATATCCACGTCTGGAAACAGACTGAAAACCAATAGTTCAAAACGTCGTTAAAATGGGACAAAGTAGATAAAGAAATATGAAGAAAAGACGGTATAAAAGTCTCAAACACCAGATATGAGAGTACAAAGTATGCCGTTATTTAAATAAATTAGTTTTTAGGTGCTTAAAAGAAGTTAAATCCTTGTCCTCAATGACTTGACGTGTTAAAATAGAACCTAGTAGATTTAGTGCGACAGGAGGCGTCAAAAACGTGCGGTTATTAAAATAAAGTAGGTTTTTTACTCCCCTCAACCCTCTGAGACTATAAACCCGATCGGTTCGCGAGGTCGTCCACGAGCCGAGCGTCGCGCGCGCACGGACTCACGTTCCGAAGCCTGGATGGGGGAGAAAAAAAAGAGCTGGTGTCCTCGTGCACTCGGTGATTGGTGGTTAGAATTCGAACGGGTGGTGTCGTCGCGTCGTGCCGGCGGTACCCGGCCAAACCCGGCGCAGAGAGAGACGGCGCGTGGGATACCCGCGAGGAAGTTTGTTGTTTGTCAGATTTAAACAAAGGCAGATTTTCTTTTTCATCCTCACACACAAACTCTGTTGTGACCTAAACACAGCTGGTCCGTTGGCGCGCGCGTGTGTGTGTGTGTGTGTGTGTTTTCATTTCATGTTGACTGTAAACATCTTGAACTCTTTTGTCAGGAAATTAAGCTGCAAATGAAGCTGCTGAAAATCCGCCTACAGGTCTTTCCGTTACACCAACACTCAACGCTAAACACTGCAGCAGTGGTACAGCAATATATCAAGGAATTCAATTATCAGGGGGTAAAGAAATATTCAGAGCCTTTACTCAACAATAGCACAATGACAGTTAGCTAGTTATACTCAATAACAAATTAAAGAAGAGTAACGTAGCCTATTCAAACTAATAATTACACAAATAGACTTTGGGAAAGCAGCTATTTTAATGATGAAAGTATTAGTGGTAGCAGTAAGTGGTAAGGTAAGGAACATTAAATTATATAGCATGTTTGGTGGCTTCATGAAAAGGAATAATTAAAAAGAGCTATTGTTTAAAAAGACATTTAAAATCAGAGCAATAGCCTAAATATCTAGGAGTAAAAACAAAAGTGGAGACACAAGTTAAGCAACAGTGACCAAGGTACAATTTAAGTTTAGATTTAAACGTATTAAACTGATTATCCTAATTAGGCTATGCAGTATACCCAAAATTATCCAGGATAATCAGTCCGGCTGTGTAGCAGAAGGCCCCTGTGTTTATACTGACCTTTATGCTGGTTTCAGATCAAATGTACAACAGTGAATAGTTTTTGCACAAGCAATTTACTATTGTACATTTGATTTGATTGTGTTGCAGAATAAAGAGCAGAACATGAGTTCACAAAGGCACTAACTGCTACAAGAACCTAAACAATCACAATCTTCTCATCCTGTTCTTATATTTTAGATCGACTTCAGGGAGCCAACAATTGGCTGATGGGGCCTTCACCCACAATATGTACCCTGTTTCCTCCAAGTTCCCATTAAGTCCAGTAAAACCAGTGCTTATATGAAGGAAGGATTTAATAATTTGTGTAGCGCTGCAACTAACAATTATTTTTATTATCCATAAATTTGCTGACCATTTTCAGAATTAAACTTTGAAATGTCATAAAATAGTGAAGAATTGTTCATCACATTTCTCCCAGAGATACTCAAGTAAGCAGGAAAATACTGACATTGGAGAAGCTGGAAATCAAAAACCTGTCGATTCATTTTCCAGTATTTATTAATTTTCTTCTAATTGTGTGCTCTTATTTCTAGTCAGTTCTCTGACACACTGGTTAACAGAGAGTTGAGAATTTGTTAAATACGTATTTTGTTTGAACTTTAGCAGCTGCATTTGTTTTAGGTGGTCCTCACTTTTACACCTGCTCAAGATCAATTTATGAGTCCTCTCTGAGCCTAGCTTTGGGATCAATGATTAGCAATAAGTCCTATCTTACCCTGGCTTTATTTTTTTTTTAAATGGTAAAAGCTGTCATTGACCAGTGCAGTAGCAGCACTCACCACCAGAGGGCAGCGAACATCACAGTCAGCTATGTTCAGTTTTGACCAGCAGGGTGGAAATGTTTGGATCCATCTCCCTCTCTCTTTCCTCTCTCGACCACCCCCCACTTTCCTCCAGCTGCTCTTCTCATCACTGAGTCTGGACTCAGCAGCTCAGAAGCTGCAGATGCCCACCAACACCTGTCTCGTCTGTTCACCTGTCTGTCCTTCAGCTGCGACATGAAGAAGAGGCAAAGATTCTGGTTTCTGCTCTGGGTAAGACTTCTTATCCAACATCTGTGTTTAACTCATCTAGTGTGTTAATTCATTTATTAAAACTGGGATTTATTGTGATATTAACTGTCATATTAGTTTGTTTTCCCCCATTAAATTATTCCTCAGATCATTTGATTAAAGAAAACAATTTCACCTTGTAAATTGGCCATATTTTGTGTTATTATAAGCAAAGCTGGAACGCTGATCCTGATGCTGCCTGATGTGCATTTTATATTGAAGAACTTAATTTCTGATGGTCTTTTATTTATCAAAATGATAAAAACACAATAAAAAAAAAAACGTGCAGGTTGTAGAGAAGCAGCTCACCAAATGCAGCACAAAGTTTGTGTGAATTTTAAGGAAAATTTTACAAATAACAAATATAAATGAAGAAAGAAACGCTTTTAAACAAAATTAACAGGTTTTGCCTTTTTTAAAATCCTGGTCAGTTTTTTATTAATCTACATGAATCTACAGATGTTTGATTTCTTGATAAGAAGCTCATTTATTTTACACTGAAAACAGTAAATAGGATTTAAAATACTTTGAATGTATCATTATTGGCTTGAATGTGTGTTATTTTGTGACACCATGTGTTGCATAAACCCGTCTCTCCCTCTCTTTTGTTGTCCGATTTAAATCCATGAAGCCAAATTCAGATTTTTATGTTATGCTGGTCAAAGTTAGGTTCGTTATTCATCTCTAAACACAGCCGTCCAGATGTTTCATTATGTGTGTGCTAATGGAAGGTTATTATTAGTGCATTATGAGTCATTAGTTTGTTGTTTCACTCGGTTGTGTTGTGTTGCTTCCAGATGTGTGTTTGCTGTGTTGGTCCGACGTGTTGCTGGCACGACCTGGACAACAGCGAGTACGACTGCTGGCCTCTGGACAAACCCAATGAATACAACATGATCGACTGTGGAGGTGAGAATCTGTTAACTACAGTCTGTGCTCGTGTTGTGATCTCCCTGATACTCAACAAGTGACTGAGAGATTAAAGTCTGGTGATCTTCTATAGATCTCATCTTGTCAACAAATCTCATGGTCAGACTCAAACCAACAGTGAATGTCTGTCCTCCCTCTGAGCCATAGAGCTCCATTGTTGTTAAAAACTACTAAAACACATCAGTGAGCCTCGCTGCTGCACTGGCCGACGTATTCCTTCATCACCATGAGCTCACCGCTGTAACTTATTCTGACTCAGTCACACATACACCGTCCCAATTCACTAAAGCACCACATGTGGATTCATCCGCTGCTGAAAATAGTCCCCAGCTAATGAACTTTTGTCTCATTTGTTTTGATTAAAAACTACAGTGAACAGCTGTTTTAGGAAATTACTATATAACTGTATATTCATGAGGTGTTTCTAAAGATGCATGTCTACAGTAGGAGCCAATGGGCTGAGAGCCGCAGACAGGAAGTCAGACAGTATTTGGAGACAGACTAACACGTGGTTGGTTTGGGTTTATATTGAATATAAAAACATTTCAGGTCTAAAGAGCACACAGCAGCTACAAACACGGCCAGGTAGTGTTTTTGCTGTTGATAAATTTCAGTTCCAGTATAATACCGATACTAAAACAATTCTTTTCCAGAATCTTAGTTAAGAGAATATTACTGTCTTTTTTTTTTACTTTTTTAATATGCTTACTTCCCTATGCTTCTGTAAAAAGTAAATAATTTGCCTTATTAAAATATATCGATTGAATAGCTTCCATATTTACAATCAGAAAACAGTCTCAGAATGTGACCAAGCACTTGATGCCATCTGTCGGTACTTCACTGTTTTTGATGCTCAATGCGACGTCGTTATTTAGGTTTTAATTTGATACCCAGCCCTAGCTATTAAATGAAAAGCCTAGTGAGAGTATGTGAACTTCCAATCTTCCAATCATCCTTTTATCTTGTCTTTGCTGTTGCTGGTTTACACTTCACTACAGGAAGGAAGTTAATATGTTCTGTTTACAGATCTGATGAGTTTGTAATTTCATCTCGCCTTTATAGAACATAATTACTCCAGTGAACCAACAAGTAAACTCTGCTTCTACACAAGTAAATACTACAGAGATAAAGCTTATTTTTTCTCAGTTTTAACCTCACTTGTGCTTTCTGAGATGTTTTAGCTTCAGTCATGACTGAATTAAAAACTGTTCATTTTATCTGTTTCCTGGTTAATTTCTATGTCGATCGCCCAGGTCTGGAGATGGCCTGGGTGGTCCGTCCTCCAGAGACAGTGAAGGTCGGTGAAGTGTTCAGTGTCACGTACTCGGTAACTGCTCAGGATGCTTTCTACCACTGGGCCATTGAAAAACACATCTTCACAAACAGGTTAATACATCCGTTATACTGGCTTCCATCTAGTTATACTGGATTTCAACCAGACTTATACTTGTTTTAGTTCAGAACCAGACCTTATCCTGCATGAGGTGGTCTGATGTGTATATGTGTTTAGCTCCATAGTAAACGCTGAAGCAGCTCGGAGATTTTGTGAACATCACGACTGTCCCGCCAACTGGAAAGATGCTGACGGAGAAAACTGCTGCATTCATCACGCTAACATCCACTCGTGTCCAATGGTACACATGGTACATATTTTGGTTTTTCATTTTTTAAATGTTGTTAATTTGTCTTCCTAACTCTGAAGTTGTAGCGATGTCTAAAACTTTGGGATTGTTTCAAACAAACAACAGCTTGCTCCCATGTATTAATGTTGCTAATGCTAATGTTGTGTTGATGGATAAATAATAGATTCCAATAAAAGAAAAATTTTAATTTCCATTACCAATCTACACATGCCATCAGGGACCATTAAAACTATCAATAAAATAATTAGTAAATGCACTCAAGGATTAATAGAACCTGGTTTGTACTGGAGAAGCTTTTTCCCATTATTTTAATTTATTAAAAAAGCATAACATAATATTCATAATATATCTCATCTTGAATGTAAATTAGAATCAGTAACCAGTAACTTGATCTGTCGATGTCATAGATTGAAAACATTTCCCTCCAAAATGTAGTAGAGGATGTAGAAATACTCGAGTAAAGTACAAGAACTGCTAACCTGTACTGAAGCCAAGTAATGGAGTAAATGTACTTATTTTCAACTTCTGCATGTCAGCAAATTCTTATATTTATTTTAAAGTGCCACAAGTTGACTAAATTACATTTTAAAGACTAATACACTTTTTATTTTTAAAAATACTTTAAGACATCAGAGAGCATCTGTGGTCCCTGGATTCCTGACGACGGAAAAATATTTACTCACACTATCTCAACCTCTGGCAAGATGACACAGATCAACTGGACTGCCAAGGTAACGCACTCACACACAATTTCTCAACTGGCTTTACGGCTTCAAAACAGCCAAAGCTCTCTCCACAAATATCTACAAATAAATGGAATAAATCTTAGTCGGCGGAATTCAAAGAGAGATCACTCTCCTTGTATGACAGGGTGCATTAAACGATACAGGTGGGAAATTAAATGAAACAGTTGTAACAGTTAGTAGAAGTAAGTATTAAATAAGTCCAACAGTCCACAGACTACACGGGCACAAAATCCAATCTCTTACCTCTCACACTGAAACATGTCCTACGCTACACGTTGGAGAAACTAGCAAGAGACAGCTAGATATTGAAAGTATCCAACTGAAACAATCCATCCATCCAAAGCCACTCCCCCAATCAATCATTCCATTTGGACCAAATTAAATGCATCAAAAATGCTTCTGTAATAAATTGGCTACCCCAGCTTTAATCTGTATGCAGATGAAACACTATTTTACATCACTATCGTTTCTAGCTCTCATGCTCAATGCAATCATTGATTGATTGCATTGACAAACTCCTGAAGTCAGATTCACTAATTTGTTTCAGTTACTCTGATGTTAAATTCCAGCCTTTGTATCCTTGGCTGGTTTTCGTAAGTGACCTGGTAAACCCATTACTCTGTCTTTCAGGTGGTTCTGATCCATCCTGGCTTAACCTCGCTCATCGCTCACATACGAGTCGGCCGCATGCAGGTTGCTCTTGAGGCCAAAAGCACCGTGCATCCTGCTGTAGGTAGGTTATGTTGGTGTATCTTCCCTCTCTACTTCTTAGCATGACTAGACACAAATACAATGGTCATCTGACCAACAAAAGGTAGCTAAAAGCTAATGTCATAGATCACATGGGGAAAAATGTTTAATTTATAAAGACCTCAGTGTAACCATGATAAACCGTCATTTGCCTGGATCTGGATCACAGTGGCAGCCCACGTTCCCTAAACGTCATTCTCCTGTCCACAATCCCATTCTTTCCGGGGGCAATCTCTTGCTTATGTTTAAGTATTATCTAACAAGTTTAGGTACTTTATATGTAAGGTCAGGAATGGTGGTGTTTAGGTTTTACCAAAGACCATTATCTTTGGGTATAAGAAGAGTTTACATGTGGTTAACTTTAGGTTTGGGTTTGGTGTGGAAAAGGCAGGGGACAGTTACCGACTGGGATCTCAGCTATCATCAGCGTGGGGTCTGAACCCTGTTAATACAATGATATTTCTCTTACTGTTCCAGCAGTCTCTCCACTCTGTGTTGACATAAGTGGAAGAGAAAAGAGGGAAGTAGCTCCTTAATCTTCTTTTATCCCCTCTAAGTATGTGGTGATGATGTCTGTGAGGAGGCAGAGCTTTGTTCCACCTGTCCAGCCGACTGTGGTGAATGCCCTATGACCCCGGCTACCAAGATGGCCATCAGCCTGCCACTGAGCCTGCTCTGCCTCTGCTTCATACTGTCTGCTTTGGTGAGAGGCACACAACATATATGCTAACAGAAACCCAGCAAAATACTCAAAAATAAAGACTAAAAAGACTAAAAATCAATAAATCTGTCTTGTTTAGTGGCTGAGGTACCACAAACAGAAGCTGTTGTGGGACGAGAGCTGGATCATCGACTTCACTACAATAAAACAAGGTACTGTGACAATCCAGATAGGACCAGTTTAAACTGCTTGAAACTAGTTTAGTCAGCTCAGAACTGCTCTGAAACTGGTGTAAACTGGTGAGGGACTATAACTGGTCACAAAAGGTCTGACACTGCACAAAACAGATCTGAAATTGATTTAAAATGCGTTGAAACAGGTCTGAACTGGTATACACTGGTCTGGAACATGACAGGTCTGACAATAGACTGAATAAGACATGAACTCAGCTCCAGCCATCAACTTCTTGGCAGTGCCTGACTCTCCTAACTCCCGGGTAATCCAAAAGTGGGCAAAGAGGTGGAGCGTCATACCCGGTTGTGCAGTTGTCATTAATGGGGAAACTAGCTATAGAGACCAAAACCGTTGTTTTGTACCAGGCTGACAACATGTTTGTTTTTACAGTAATGTAGGGAATTTTAACATGGGGGTCTGTGAGGACTGACTCGCTTTTGGAGCAAGCATCAAGTAGCCATTTGATAATGTCTACTTGATGGACTGAACACGTGTAAAACAGATTGCCTTAAACTGGTTTAAACAGGTCTGAAACATGTCTTTACAGGTCTATTAGAAACAATTTACTTTAAGTGTACGTCTCTCTGTCTTTCTCTATATAGATCAGGAAGCTCATATGACCATGGGCAGTCTAATGAGCGCACCAGTGGGGAACAGCGACAGTAACACCAGCTGCATGACTGCTCTCAGCTCCTATATACAACCAGGGACCCGAAAAACAATGTTCACCTGCACTGGGATATAGTACGCCCACCTGTTTGACTATCTGTCTGTCTATTTAAACCTCATTCATGCTGTCAACACAGCAGTAGTCTTTTTGGTGCTGCTACTTTGGAGTTGTGTCTAGGACTGGGCTTTATTTGAAATAGTGAGATAATATCGCAGATAAAATGCACAATTCTTTGTACCAACTTGTGGTACTGACTAAAACAGTGCTTATTTCAATACTTTACTTATTGCAGTTGTTTCCAAAAAACATTCAAGTTCAAAGCCCAGCCCCTGTTGTTGTGGCCCAGTAGTGGGGTGCATGATAAGTAAGCCCACTTGTTGGGCATTTCAATTTGTGCCCTTAAAAATCAAAATACAAAACTGAACTACACAACACTAAAATTAAGATTACAAACTGACTACTCTCTAACTGCTGGGGTCGTGAGAAACTTTTGTTTTGCCTAACTGTGTATTCAGACAGGATGGATAGTGATACAAAGCCATTGAGCAGGCAAGGCTGATGCAATTCAGTGCAAACTGAGGTTTGCAGGATGAGTTTCCAAGCGAGTTGAAAATTTTTAAGTAATTTAAGCCACCACTGAGACTTTATGAATCCATTTCATAAACATACAAAGACAAAAGGAAAAAAGACAGAAACTGTAGAGAAAAACAGTTCTGCTATCAGTTGTCATTGTCACACTTACAGTCTGTGTTTACAGTCAGTAGTTGTATGTTAAGGGAGAATAAAAACAGACTGCAAGAAGAAAGTCATGGTCAAAATACTCAGAATATTCACTATTTAAAAAAATATTTTAGGGCATATTATGTCTTAATTAGTAGTGAGATAACACTACAGAGATGACATGAGGGGATAAAGATGAATGGCACACAACAAAGTCAGACCCCAGTCAGAATCAAACTGAGGTCAATACACATGTGCCGTAAACTCCTAGACCACAACAAAGCCTCAGACTCTGAGCACTTGGTTAAATAGATCTACAGACACACATCAAGACACTGGTTCTAGTTCAAGTTGGTGTAGATTAACAGATGAGTCTTCCATGATGGAGGGAGACGGCTGGCTGGTAGTTTTTTAGAAAACATCCTGCAATAAAATGTATTTTCTTCTCCAGCGATGGTAGGACGGTGGCCATCAAGATGATTCAAACAAAGACTTTCTCTCTGTCCAAAACCATAAGACAGGAGGTCAAACAAGTCAGGTAACACACACTCATCATCCTTCCTCTTATGACCCTCATATTTCAAATATAGTATTTTGACTCTCTTTCTCCGTCTCCAGGGAGCTCGATCACCCCAACCTGTGTAAGTTTATTGGCGGGTGTGTTGAGGTGCCTAATGTTGCCATAGTGACAGAGTACTGCCCAAAAGGAAGCATAAACGATGTTCTTCTTAACGAGGAGATCCCGCTTAACTGGGGCTTCAGGTATTCACACAAACATGCACAGTCTTTAATTAAAACTGACTCAGAGTGTCTTTTGTCACTTTTAATTGGGCTTTGGGCTAATAATAAAGACATTAAATACAATGAAACAGGTTAGTTTGGGTAATAAAAATAAATAATCGCTATCACTTTGCTAGGTTTTCCTTTGCTACAGACATCGCCAGAGGGATGTCATACCTCCACCAACACAAGATCTGTCTCGGCCGACTCAAGTCTCTAAACTGTGTCTTAGACGACCGCTGGGTCTGCAAAATAACAGGTAA